GTGCAAATGGTTTTTGTTGCTAATCTGTGGGGAATATCTACAAGAAAGTTCTACAGAAAGTAGCAACGGGTCCTGAGAAATGTTGCTAGGTTTGTCGCTAGGTGCTTTTTGGAAAAAAAAAGTCGTTGAGGGGGGTCAAAAAATCATTAGGAACAGCAACAAAGTCACTGAGTTGGCAACACTGCTCGTGACACTCAAAGCCAGATGTTTCAAGCCTGTATTTGTTATAACTATGAAAACCTCACATTCAATTAGAATATTGTTAAAAGGTTCATTATTCTCGACCAAAGTGCCACACTCTAATCAGCAACTGAAACACCTGCAAAGGGTTCCAGAGCCTTTAGATGGTCTCTCAGTCCAAGTTAGATGACTGACATAACTGCACTTTTGCACCAGATTCTCATTTTCCCAGTTTCATCTGTAGATTCTGTTCGTCTCATTTGAGAAAAACCGAACGGAAGTGGTAAGTTTAAAAAAACAGTAAAGACGTACAAATACAAACTCAGAACCTTTGTCTTTAATAACGAGTTTATTTCCACATGATCATGTTCTAAACCCTCAACTGTACCGTCTGATTATATAAGCAGTGTTTACGGTCTTGTTTCAGTGCCAAAGGTCGTGGCAAGGGCAAGATGGGCGGCCGGCTGAGGTAAAGCTAAACCTGACGGAGTGGACGCAGACCGTCATATCCGTTCATGTGTTCATCATCATCCTAATAGGATTAAACGACCATGTCCAGGAGGATGGAGAGCCTTCACCAGCACATGCTCTTTATCATGTTGTACATGTCAACTACAAAGAGATTAAAACAATAAATAAGTCACTTCACTCACTCTGATCCCTTCGTGAAGACCATAAACAGCCCATACCTGCGTCTCTTTGTCCAACAAAGCATCAGAAAATAACACTTTGGATATAAAAATCCACCTGAACACTGGTTTAGCTCTGCGTCTGTACAAAAATAACACTATCAATGAAGGGGAGGGCCAATGGGTAAAACAGTTGTTTGTGTAAGAAAAAGGTCTAAAATAAACATATTTAAGCTAATTAGACGTGTGTTTCTGTACAAGTGGTGATGCTGATGCTTGTAAATAACTCATGTGATTGTGATGCTATAAAAAAGCCATCCAGGACAGAATACAGGAGGGTAGTACTTTAGGACTTTTCTACAGAGACTTCAAAATATCCCTTTGAAAACAATTCTGAGCAGTTCCTGATATTTATTAAGGCTGAGCTCCATTTTTCTTTGCTTTTATCATTTCTAGCTTCAATTATAATCTATAAAGAAAACAGACATCTCTAAGCAAGGCTCCACACGGTGATGCATTCTGATGTCTAGGAAAAAAGAACCATCTGGGACCGGAGCTTGTGTGATGCTGGTGAGGAAGGACTGAAATACACTGACTAGTGATGCAGCTGCTCCTGTTCTGTACAACTAGGTTCTGGTATTCACATATCAACAGCAGCGCATGTTTAAATTAAGCCTGAGGTGGTGTGTGTGTGTGTGTGTGTAGGATGTATGAAACGTCCTTGCTGAAGACCGGTCCTCCTCACCACAGGTGGGTGTCTCTGATCTCTGCTATCACCTGACTGGCTTTCTGCAGCGCCTGGAAACAGAGAGGAAAGATCATTCAGCACACACCAAAGACACTTCCTGTGTGTGTGTCTGTGTGTGTGTGTGTGTGTGTGGGGGGGGGGGGCACCATTTTGTTTCTGAATTAAGAAGAAAAAAATTGCAAAAGGTGCATGGATATTATTTTCAATGAAAAGTTAATTAAAAACAAACTTAAACAGATCTAAAATGTTACTGGTACGTTTACCGAAGGTCCAAGAGCCTGAATTAAGCCGTGGTAAACGGAGAGGGTCTGTGAAGTAGTCTGAAAGCTTTTGCTGTTTGTTCAATTCATAATAGAATATACAGTCCATGAAATATACAATGATAATTATTATTTTATGCATATTTAACAGTGATGTTAGAGCTAAAAGGCAGAAGAGAAGTTATTTTTTAACTTTATCTCATTGCATTAGGATTTGAAGTTGTCCCACATTTGGCGACTTGGGGCCTGATCACCCTGTTTTCTACCACATTCTACAAATCATGAGTGTATGTTCTTCTGACCATTTATGAGGAGGAAGTTTCCATGAACCAAAAGGAGAAACGTTGTCATGGAAACATTTTTACTTAAACAGCCCTTCCACTGCACAAGTCCAGTCATATCAAGAAGAGCTTTAACGTTTAACACGGCCACTCAGAACCAACCCTACTAACATGCTGACATTTAACCCAGCAGGTATCTCACAAACAAACATCGGGTATGACCGACACTGGCTCGTGTTTTTGTGGTCGGCTGTGACACATGAAACGCCCGTCACCTTCAGCATGTCGGCAGCCTCGTTGCGTCTCTGAGCCATGTCCTCAGACTCTGTCAGCAGGTCGTTCAGCAGCGACGTCTTGTATAACTGTCCCACCAGCTCGCTCTGCAGGCTGTCCTTCACGTGGTTCACCAGGAAGTGCATGACTGCCTTCGGCACGCTGGGAAAACAGTGAAAGAGGCTCACGTCATCTAAATGTGTATCATATTTCCTCGGTGTGGAAATGCTAAATGATAATAAATCAGCTGGTGAATTGTACCTGTCTTGGATATTTTTTCGAACAATGAGAAAATATGATTTGATGAGACGCTCAATGACCTCGCAGTCTCTCTGCTCCCGAGCTGATAACTTCCTGGAGACGGGAACAGGCTGAAAATATAACAAACAAACAATACATCTGTTTACGTTGCGGGATGTGAGGGCATGACGCTGGAGAAAAACCCCAGAAATGTTCATAAAACTCATAACAAACACATTTTTGCCTTTTCCACAAACAAAAGAAGCCCACACCAGATCATTCCAACTTTCCGTGATGCTGCCTCCCTGTGGCAGCATCACGGAATAACAGAAAACTTTTCAAAGCAGATCAGGTGAGTGGTCTTTATTGGGCCATTCCCATCTGTACTGGGTCGGTCCGGGCCGGGTAGCCCCAGTCGGCCCCAGCCTGGCCCAGTGATTCCACACATCCTTGTCTTAAGCCCATGTGGGCTGATTCTACCCACCAATCAGAGGCTTGCTCTAATGGAAGGTGTGAATTTGCTGTCAGCAGTGGGTGTGTTGGCCCTGGTCGGCCTGAAGCAGACCCCCTCGAGAAGAGGGCTGAGAATGAGCCTTGGTTGGGCCGGAAAAACACCAGGCCACCCAGATATGTAAACAACCTATGCTACCCGGCCCGGGCCGACCCGGTACAGATGGGAATGGCCCATTAGTAGCCTGGCCTGCCAGACTCCTCCTCTGTTTAATTCTGCACAGAGAAAGAGTCTGGTAACTCACAGGCAGAGAGGCACATGAGGGGCGGGACTAGACAGCTAAAAGTATAACCAATCAGAAAAAAGACGGAAATGCCGACTGTCCCGCGCAATGTTGTTGATTTTTAGTTGATAAAAAATGACGTCTGGCAACGGCGCAAACCTCTTTTTTTTTTAGAAGAAATGCTTTTAGCGCTTCTGCTTGTTGTGGTTTTAAAGATGTTCAAGTCATTTAGAACAGAGGAAAGAGCCGCAGCGAACTCCGTCTCCGTTGTTTATGAGAAACTGAGCGTCGCTGTGTGCCGTCCGCGACGCTGTAGTTTTTTGGCTGTAGTCAAAAATGGCGTCTGGCGACAGCGCAAACATTTTTCTTTAGAAGAAAGGCTTTTAGCGCTTCTATTTGTCGTTGTTTTAAAGACGCGTTCAAGTCATTCAGCACAGAGGAAAGAGGGTTAGAATTCTCAGGGGGCGGGGTTATTTGAATAGGAGAGTTCCCACGGCCTTTCTCTGTGCAGAACTAAACAGGCCGGGCTAGTCTTTATGTAGGCCAAGCCCAGATAAATCCCGTGTTTTCTTATTTTACTACCATGCTAACAGATCTGCAGTTATGATCAATTTAATATCAGACAACTATTAGATCCTATGAATCGTTTTATCATTCAGTTTTTTTTCTGAATTTTTATTAAAATAACACTCCGGTATCAGTTGTACACATCAGAGGTATAAAAAGTGTGACTGTGTCCCCACCACATCCAGCAGGTTGACAGCATGGCCTCGTTGGGGGCTTGCCGGGGGCAGGTGCTGGGGCACCACCCTGTCGCCTGATGAACCATCCTCCCCTTTCTTCAACATGCCCCTCCAGTTACCGGTGCCTCCATCCACCTGATCACTGATGCTCTGAGAGCTGCCGGAAGCTGCCTGCAGACCATCAGGCAGGAAAATAGTGAGAAGGCTAAACTTATATAAGCGATCATCAACAAATATCACCAGAGAGCCGCATGCCGACAGCCTTCTTTGACTTCAATGCAAAGAAGTTTCATCCTGATTTATTTTGTTAGAGGTGAACTAGCAAAACTACCAGCGAGAGAGAGAAAAAAAACTTGTGAAGAGTTCAAAGGTCAGAGACAGACAAGACAGGCAGAGAGAGAGAGAGAGAGAGAGAGAGAGAAAGAGAAAGAGAAGAGAGAGAGAGAGAGAGAGAGAGAGAGAGAGAGAGGAGAGAGAGAGAGAGAGAGAGAGAGAGAGAGAGAGACACCTTAGTGGTCTCACCCTCCTGGCCAGGAGGCTCAGTGGGAGAGACAGACCACCCACTGGGGCTTTTAAGGGACTAAACACAGAAGAAACAGACAGAGACCGGCTGGAGCTGAGAGGAGGGCAGGAGGTTTAAACCCTGGAGCACACAGACAATCAGTCAGGGACAGTACCTTGTCTCTGGGAACAGAAGGAGGCAAGTCTCTTAGTCTGTTACGTCGCTGCTCCTAGAACAAAATAGGAGAAACGGCCCACGGTCATTTATAATCTTTAGACTACTGCTAAGTACACATGCAGCAGCAGCCTCACTGATCATTGTTGCTAAGCTAATCTCTTACGTCTAGATTGTTGTTCATGAGCCCGATGGCATCAGCAAAGTCTGGGTGTTTGGTGTTGATGTAGGCAAGCTCTATGGCAACCAGGTTATGAACCTGTAAAGAAATAAAGAAGAGGGACCCATCAGGCGGGAACTTTCTTTAAAATGCCCAGAATTTGTTAACAAAGACACTTCCTGACCATATCGTTGGTGACTGGGAGTCTCCTTCTGAGAAGAGAAGTCACCACCTCGACTATAGCATCAAGGAGCTTCGGAAACCTCAGTAACTCCTGAAAAAACACAAATCGCTGATCATCACAGCTGTTAGATGTCGTTATAATGCACTTCTACAGTTTAAAGTCCCATTAGTCCTCATCACACACTGGCGAAGTTCTTCTCTGCACTTGACCCATCCCCGTGGGGAGCAGTAAGCTGCAGCGGTGGCCATGCTCGGGAACTATGGGGTGGTTTAACCCCCAATCCATCCCCTTGAAGCGGAGTGTCAACCAGGAAGGCACTGGGTCCCATTGTGAGTCTTTGGTATGACCTGAACCCCGATCTCCCAGTCCCAGGGCGGATACTAAACACTAGACCGCTGAGGAGGTTAGTTACGATCCTCACCTGTGTGCTGTAGTTGCTGCAGTGCTGAATGATCCTCTGCATTTCCTCGTGAACCAGTTCCACGCAGCGCAGGCTGGGATCCTCCAGGCGCTTGATCTGCCGCTTCACCAGCAGCTCAAAGGAAACCTCCGGCACAAACAAAGCAGGCCTGGGGCCCTGAGGGCGGAGCAGAAACAGTGAGCCATCACCAAACAGGAAAAGTTAAAACACTACTCATCACCAAACTCACGGTGGCATTTCTGATGGCCGTCAGCACATCGATGGTCGTCAGACCGCCCAGAGGATCCACCGACTCTAATGTGCGCCCAAACGTCTCGTGGAATATATAGCAGATCCTTGCTCCGCCGCATCTGAAACAGAAAGGACTTGATGCCAGCAGCACCACCAGGCGTGGTGGTGAAGGTACGAACCGTTGTGACTCACAGTTCAGCCGTCTCTATGTACTTGGCCGTGCCTTCTATGGTGTTGCAATACTCTGCAGCAAACTTGGTGATGAGCTGCAGCAGTGTGGCGCTCTTGTCTTCCACGGGGTCACCATAACTGTTCAGTAAAGACTGGTACTGAGCAGCCAGCACGTTGATCCTGGTTTTCAGCTCAGGCAGACAGTCTCTGATGTGATGCATCAGTAACCTGGGATAGGAAGTCAAAATGATGTTAGCAACACAGGAAATGACTGATTAACAGACAAAGTTATGAAATGAACACCTGTTTAATGTTCTAGCCAGGTACTTGGTTCCATTTCTGCTGGCCAGAGAGGGGTACTTCTTCTGTAGAAACGCATACTCATCACGAATAGAATCAGCCACCACTTTCTTCTGATTAATGTCCAGCTGACTCCTGCACAAAAAGACTTATCAACATGTGATGACATCACTGCTGCTGGTCCAGCGTGCAGGTGTGGTAATACCTGTTGACTACTCCAATAATACCCAGTTTGACAGGAATGACTCTGCCCATCAGCACATCCATGGCATCCGTGCCAGCATCCATCAGGTCCAGTTTGGTCACCACAGCGAGCGTCCTCCTGCCTAAACAGAAAAACGCCAACAGTGAGGCGATGAAGACACAAAAGACACGATTCAAGAGGGATGATATTTACTTACCGTCAGGGTCGACCTCCCGGGCCACTTTCAGAGCCTCTGAGGTCGCCATGTCGGTGTTGGCGGCGGTCACAGCCAGGATGATGGAGTTAGGGTTGGAGATGTATTTTAGAATCAGCTCCCTGATCTGGATCTCTATGTCCTTGGGCTGATCTCCCACTGGTACCTGTTCATAAACACACAACACAGACAGACTCTACAAATACATCTTTACTAATCAAACACTGAACCCTCTCAGCATCATCCACTCACTAATCGGTGCTCAGTGGCTTCAGAGAAATGTATTCTCCTAAACACTCTTGAGACTTTTAGTCTTTAAATGTGGGGATTTTAGATTACTCAACTACAAAAACTATGCAGGAATATTAAAGAGTACCTTTGTGATCCCAGGAAGATCCACTAATGTCAGGTTAACAACATTGGGGGAAAAGATTTTCAGGTGAATGGGCTCATCACTAACACCCTACGAAGAAGAAGAAAAAACACATTTCTACTGGTTTTACTTCTTGTGTGGTTAGTTGTGCGAGTCCATACAAGCAGCAGACCTTGTTGTTACCAGTAATTCTGTCTGTTTCTGCTTCGATCTCCTGTCTGATCTCCTCAAAGCTGGTGTAGATCTGAAAGCAAAGTTTCACTCTAAATGCTACGAATGGTAACAACAGGGAGGGGGGGGTCATCTCTACCTACAGAGGGTTGGGCATCGAGCATTGATTGGAACCGGTTCCAACTGTTCATTTTTCCCGGAATCGCTCAACGTTTTTTATTTCGATTCCTAGTGTGCCGACGGAAGAGGAATCTGCGGCCGGTCTCCGTGAAAAATAAACGTGATCTGCAAATAATGATCAACGCTTTTCAGAGCTGATCACACCAGCTGTCTGTGAGCAGCACGAGTCCCCCCTCCCTCCCCCACCCGGATATAAACAAACGCGTCTGCCGAACTTTTACTCCGTAATGTAAACTTTTAACTCCTGCAGCGTAGAGGAAACGTGTTAAAATACGTCAACACGGTGGATTTAATTAAAGGTTTAAAGAACAAACTCTGGACGGTGTGAGGTGAGTTTGTCTCACTGCAGAAATAAAAACACACAGAGCGTCAGAAGGCTGAACAATAACCTGTAGAATAATCAAAGTCATCATGCTGGAGCAGCTTCTCTGTGGTGGACCACACCAGCTTCTGCCACAATAATAATAATAATAAAAATAATAATAATAATAATAATAATAAATCACACACAAAGCTGTGAACATTTTAATTTCCTTTCTGAACTATTTCTGTTGAGTTTTAACGTTTAAAATCTATTAGATTGTTACCGACAGCAGCTACGTTTACGTTTCACTTTCTGTTCTGACTGAACGCTGCTGCAGCATGGAGGTGTAGTTCTCAGTCATCCTGGACATGATCATCCTGAGAGTTTTAGCTGAAAACAGCTGCACGTTTCTGGATATGTTGGAGACATTTAGCCTCATCCCAGAGGCTTCTTCCAGACTTTGGTTGTGGTCAGAAACAAACACACTGGTTGTGCTGCAAGTCTTTTTCTTTTTTTCTCCAAAACATGTTTTTGTCTAAATGAAGGTGTTGTTGTTCATAGAATTAAAATTCATGTTGAAGTTAAGATTATTTCAACAAGTAGGACCTGTGGTTAGCTGGCTCATTTAAAACATGTCATGTCTTCAAAGAATCGGAATCGGGAATCGATAGGAACCGGAATTGAAATGAGGAATTGGAATCGGAATCGTTCAAAATCAAACGATGCCCAACCCTACTGCCAAAGAGACGATTCTCTTAGGAAACAAAGTGTTAACTCCACCTTATTTTTGGTGTGTAGAAACTTTCCCCATTCCTCTCCATCGATGCCTGTGAAAAAAAAAAAACAACACAACAGATGTGGCCTTGAAAACGGTGTTGCTATGACAACCACCCTCTTGTTATAAATGCCCCGTGGGAGGATTTTCTTTAAATAGCAAAAATGGGATGAAAAAACTACACATGGCAAAGCATTCACAGCTACCGTGTTTACAACAAAAACATCTGATTTTACAACAATCGTGTCTTTCAGCAAAAAAATAAATAAAAGCCATTTGGGAGCTTTAGACTGGGATCGCTAAATCTAACATAACTTTAAAAGGATGGAGTCTGTCAGGAAGCTAATAGCTGAGGGACTACTTTGGCAAAGTAATTAAAATGTAAATCTGGTTATTGTCGCTAACATCAACTGACGGAGACTAGCCTGTGATGAGTAATGAAATCAACGAGCTTTGGGAAGCTGTAGAAACTGAAAACAGGACACAGCAAAAGGGTAAAAAAAAAAGGATGAGGAAGTAAGGTAGAGCGGGTTTGGGGTGTTGCAATAAAAACAAGAGAATGGAGGAAAATCAGAGAAACAGGACCTTTGTAAAAGTGAACAATTTGCTTGGATTCTGAGGCTAAAGAGAGACAGCAGGAGAGAAAAGGGTTAGCCAGGCTGCCTGCAGCTCCTGCATTCATTTATTACTAAAGGCTGTTCTTAGTGGACCAGGAGATATCAGACAATTACAGCTAAAATGTCCATCATCTCTACAAATTAAGACGTGTTGCAGCACTGTTGAATGTAAATCCATGTATGTATTTTGAATAAATGATGCAAATCATCAGATAAGACCATGCATATAATGTTTTCAACATATATGTTAAACACGAACCATAAAATAATGTGAATATTGGACATCTGTCTCTACAGGACAAACAAAGATGAAGCGCTAACAGGGATGTTACCATTCTCTTCATTGGTTTTCCTGCGATCTACCGAGTCGATGTGCACCAGCTGCAGGATGAGGGGCCGGCGCGTCACTACGCCGGTACCCCGTGGGAGGATGTCCCTGCCGACCAGGCTCTCTAAAACAGAACTCTTCCCACTGCTCTGTAGTGGAGAGGAAACGCGTCATGGACAGAATTACCACCTTCTGACCAAAGCACACAATAATCATTGCATAACAAGAAAAACCACTTCCATCAAAATGCAGAGTCCGCTGTGGCATTAGCGTATTATACTGCAGGAGGAAACTTCTCTGTCACAGTGAGGGTTGCGCTCTGGGATGGAGGCATTAATAAAGCAACACTGATCAGGATGCTACCAGAGTCATCCACAGGTAGAGCATCCCCTACAGTACTACTGAGCAAAAAACTCAGACATTTTTTCTTAAATAAACAAATTACTGATTTTTTTCCCAATAAGATCAAAGTTATGATTATTAAAGTCCAATTTCTGTTTGAGGAAAGAAACCAAATATCAACACTTCAAATCTGATTTCAACCTTTACAGAGCAAAGATGAAGAGAAGGACTTTACTTGTCTCACTAAAACCACCTTGGACACCGTCCCAAATGTCTTCTCCTATTATGTGACCAGTGGAGGTAAACCTTTAAGACAGAACCTGTCACTTTAAACCGATTAGGCACTAATGTGTACACTCTGTTTACAAGTTGTGGGTCACAAAACACTGATGTTTTTGTTTTTAAAGAACAGAACACAGAAGTTCAGTGAACCTCAAACTTTTTCAGCTACACGCTCACAGAATAGGAGTGAGACACAGGTACTTCTGCTGGCTAAAGTAAATAAAAAGCACAAGAACATAATAGCAGTTTCAACAATAAATAACTTTTTTTAATCTCTTTGAACAATTGTTGAAAAATATATACAAATGCTGTTGACAATAAAGTATATTTTAACCTGGCATTTCAGGACCCACAGACTGAGTCTTGCCCCCAACTTTGAGGTCCACAGCATGTCCCCTAATCTAATTTGGTAAAGTTAAAGAAGACTGTAGAACTCACTTTGTTAGGAGGCTCTGATACATCACTGTTCTAGGTCTATTAGCCATTTTAGTGCCACGGTAAACTAAAAATAGTTTCAGTAAATTACGTGTCTAAGGGCACGTCGTGCTTGAACACACGGCTTAGTGACAAATTAAATAAGAAATAAACGTTAAAGTCCACCTATAAAGTTATTATTCGGGCACTAAACTGAAAGTAAAACTATAGTAACAGAAACATTCACAACAATAAGTATGCTAACTAACTTCCTAGCATTGAGCAAAGTGGCGTTTCTCACCTGTGTTCCCACAACAGCTATTTGCGGCAGTTGCATTATATCTGCGCCAACCGTGTTAAAAACATCTTGCAGCTTGTTTATGACCGGTATGAGGGCCTCCATTAGCGCGGTTACCGATCCAGACCTGTCCGGTACGCGTACAACTTTCCTCACGAGTACAAAGTCATTGAATGTCCCACAGCTAAAGCTACTTTCCACTCTACGCAATCGTTGGCTCACTGTTGCATCATGGGAGTTGAAGTTCGGAAAGTCCAATCTGACCGGCCAATTGAAATGGGATTTGAATTTGACTGAACTACAATTCCTACAGTTGTTACTTTCCACAGCCGACCAATCAAAAATCACCATAAATGTTAACCCCCAGCAACGGTTACTATGTACCAAAGTACACCAATAAAGCCGTAAACTAGTTTTTTCGTGTGGGGAAAATGCTATAATATTATTAAACCGTTTCAAATATTAAACAAAATTATTCTTAAAAAGTTCCGCATCTGATGTGTTATAAAAAGAGAATAATGCTAAAAGGCTGAAGTTCATTAGAAGATTTTTCCTTTCTATTTGCATACTATGATCATTATTATTATGGTTTGTTCAAAATAAATCCTCTAAGCTAAATAGTTTGTTATATTTGTATAAAACCTTAAAGGATAAAAATCCCAAGAAGCACAATCAAAAACTGTTTAATAGTAGACAAATGAGAAGTCTGGTTTTCTACAAAAATTGAAGTGCTGTTTTATCCCCACAGTAAATAAACGACAAAAATCCACAATGAAGTGATACTAATGAGGGAACAGTTGATAAGAGATGGAAGTAACAACACATCTAATATCCAGATGACACATTTTATTGGCTATTACTAAATAAAATAAAACTATACTGGGCATACATATTTCAATTAGGATACATGCCATAATTTTATTTTTATGCAAATTATTAAAATTGTTGTGTTGATTGTAGTGGTTACACCACAAATGTTTAAAACAATGTTGTTTGCACCTTAGAGTACATGAGGGATGTATTATAAAATTGAAATAATTAACAACAAAGAAAAACAGAAAATCACAGACAACTGGAAAGGGTTCCATAGACTGCCATTGTTTCTTCCATTAGTTGTAAGAAAAAAAAACAGAATCTAAAGAAGGAAACCAAATAAACTGCCCAAAAAAGGAGTGTTGGGATGGCCAGTGGTAATCTGACAGAAGGTGCTTCATCAGTTTTCTTCAACAGTGGGGAAAAAAAACTACTACATTCACTTACTAATACACAATCTGTAAACTTCTGAACAAAAAATCCATTTGAAATTCAAACATTCAAGTCCTAGCATTCAAAAGTAACAGTCTGTTGATAACTTTAGCTCAATATCTGTAAAATGGGCAACATTAGCCTTTTTAGTATTTTCTAAGCGCAGTTATCTATGTCCAGATGTTGATGTAGATCCAGTGGTTATGTTGTCAGTCTCATTAAATTGTATAGAGATATTTTGCAAACAAACGTGCAGATGGGAAAAAATAATTAAATACTGCCCAACTTCCACCTCTAGCCTGTGGATGATAAGTGGCCAGCCAGGATCTTCAGTGTTAAATCTCACAGCATTCTTAATAACCACCAGTGTTTTATTCTTTCTACGAAGAAATGCAGTCTGTGTATGTGGTCACCATGTTTCCTCTGCGCTGGGTTACTGTTCTACAGTGTTGTTTGGTTGCACCATTAAACCTTTTGTCAGTCTGCTTGGTATTTCTGTCAAAAGTAAACATTCTCTCCATCTCTTCAAACACGTCATCGAAGACACCTGCTTCAAAGCCACCCTGGAAATGTCTCTTGTGTCTGCTGTGGGACTCCTTGCTGGACCTGGAGTGTTCATCAAAGTGTCTCCTGTGACGGGCGTGTCTGTTCTGGCTGTAGATGTTAAAGTCTTTAAACATGTTGTCAAAGTTGAAGCTGAATGGTTGGTGGGTGTCTGACTGCTGTCTGCCGCCAGTCTCTCCTGTGAAGTACGTAGCGTGACCAAACCGATCGTACTCTCTTCTTTTGCTCTCATCTGACAGAGTTTCATAAGCTGCAGATATGAGAATCAAAGTGGTCAACAAAAGAAAACGCCTCAACAAAGACTCAATAAATAATCTGATGAGTGTGAAAAGTTCATCTCAATTTCTCTGAAAATGTTTTGAACCAAATCCTTTAGGGAATACTTCAGTAGATCCTTGCACAGTCAACAAGCCCATCCTCACCTATTAAGAGGACAAGCTAAAACATGCATCATAAACAAATGTCACCACATGCTGGAGTACCTTATGCAAACCAACTGGTTAAAAACAACCATGTCATCATACAGCTACTAACAAAAATATTCCCTCAGAAATCGACAATAACAAAATGATGTACCTTCAGCAATTTCTCTGAACCTCACTTCAGCGTCTGGACTCTTGCTCTTATCTGGATGGAATTTCACAGCAAGCTTGTGGAAAGCTTTTTTGATCTGGCGTTCAGTTGCACCTCTGGGCACTCCCAGTATGTCATAGAAGTCCTTCTTAGCAAGTATCAGCTCTGTTATCACGAGGACGCACACTGCAAACATCAGGACCGATTGGGCAGCCGCCATGGCTCCAGCCTCCCCTACATCCGAGAAAGGGTGAGAAGTGGAACATTGTCAACAGCCTTATTTTGGCTATTTTTTCTGACAAAATAAGATGAATGATAACGATTCTTTTCTTGCTAATGTTTTTATGGGAACATGTGGTTACAAAGAACAATGTTCACTTCCCAGACATAAATCCTAAGTGTTTTATCGTCACCAGGCCAGTTATATTTATCTCTCCTAGCCTTGCTGAGAACACAAGCTTCTAGAGTGCCTCCTTTCATTTGGAGAAATATTACCTACCTTCTGGAGAACACGACTGTGCCTTCTTCAATCGATCTTGTAACCAGCTACTAATCTCACAAACATGATGCTGGTTTTTGGACTGAGCGAAAGCGGTCAAGCTGTCAAAAACGGTTCATTTCTGTTTCTTCCTTTCTGGTTTTCTCGTAATCATAAACCGTATCATGCGCTTGGCTGCCCCCACGCGGTCCTCGCTTGTTACTGCATCAGATCTTCTTCTGCACTGGCTGCTTTGGTTCACTATCGCCACCACATGGACTGGAGTATAAATAGAGATACAAAATATACATTTTACTCATTTCTAATTTAAAAACATATACATTTTTTTCTAATGACACAATCATGAAAAAGCGAATCAATTCTGGAATATAATTTTTATTATTGTAATACATATAAACACAAATCAGTTTGCCCTGGTAGGCACCTGGAGATAGGTACCAGCCCCCTGCGACCCTACATGGACAAGCAGGTTCAGATACTGGATGGATGGATAAACACAAAACAAAAAATTAAATCATGAAAGATTACTATTTAAATTATTAGAAATAATGTGGGGGAATGGGGGATTTACATTGCTTTTTTGGTTTCACACTTAAAGCACAAATATATAAATTCTGTATACATCCATCCATTCTTCTACTTATCTGGAGTTGGGTCACAGGGGCAACAGCCTAAGTCGAGAAGCCCAGTATTCCCTCTCCCCAGCCACTTGGGCAGCTCTTCCGGGGAAACCCCGAGGCGTTCCCTGGCCAGGCGAGAGATCCTCCAACGTGTCCTTTCAATTTAGGTCTCCTCCCAGTTGGATGTGCCCAGAAAACCTCACCAGGAAGCATCCTAATTAGATGCCTGCGCCCCTTCAACTGGCTACTCTCATGTGAAGAAGCAGCAGATCTACTCTGAGCCCCTCCCGGATGACCAGTCTTTTCACCCTATCACTAAGGGCGAGCCAGAAACCCTGCGGAGAAAACTTTTGCAATGTAATTATTCTAAAATTATTACCATCATTTAGAAGAAGATCAAATTCAAACCCCATAAAAGAAAATTAAGGAATACATCAATGTGCAATCAAATATTAACTTTCAGCAGTTTAAAGTGACTGTTTGCAGATCTCGTTGGAACCTGAAACAACTTGGCCTTAACAAGAACAAAGTGGTTAAAACAACAAGGAGGAATAAAAACACACACATACATTATTAAGTGTGGGAGTTGGGTAAGGGTAGCATTTGGCTAAGTCAGTTGTATTCATTAAATAGAATTAGTAGTAAATTGGACATAGAAGCAGGTAGCAGGGGACAGGTCAGTTCTGACTCAAGATAAAATGTAACAATTGTGCACGCACAGCTAAAGAACTGCAAAACATCGGGATGTTCAAAAGGTTAATAAACTTATACTAGAAAGACAAACATGATGTGCAATATATACATTTTTTATCTTAACACAACAAAAATATTCAGTGAGGTAAAATGAAGTATTTTTGTGCTTATGGGTAGGCCTTCATGGAAGCAATTCTCTGTAATCAATAATCCATTTTACACTGAACACACAATCAATCAATCAATCAATCAATCAAAGCTTTATTTATAAAGCGCCTTCTGCAACCCTGTCAGGAAGCCCAAAGCGCTGAACATGGTTCAGTTGTAGGTAAATATATTGAATAAATCAAAAATAAAAGCAATTCAAATTACAAAATACAAATTACAAAATAGGTGAAACATTCTGGTACAGGACAAATGTGTAAAACAATGGATTTAGTGAACCAATGAAAACTGTGAAATAAATTCAACATAAAAGAGGGCCAAAATCAAACATGTTCTGGAAATGCCAAGCGGAGGAGGTGTGCTTTTAGGTGACTCTTAAAGACTGGCAGAGATGGGGACAGCCTAACTGAGGGTGGCAACTGGTTCAAGAGTGACGGTGCTAGGACTGAGAAAGTCTGGTCCCCATGAGTACGACACCTAGAACGAGGGACAGCGAGCAGGCCTTGGTCAGAGGAGCGCAGAGCGCTCATTGCTGAACAGATCCTTACTGAACCTTTGTTTGGTGCAGATTACATTTTTACCTTGATTTAATTGTTTCTTTTTAAAGGGAGTCCCAGTTTTTCAGTAAGAGAAGACCCATCATCTCAGTCATTATGTTTAATTTATTGTTACTTATTTTTTTATTCTTTTGTCTTTTAATCTTGTTTTAATTTTCATGTTTTTTATGAAGCATTTTATAATTGTTTTAATTGATATGCACTATATAAATGAACCTTACTTTCTACGTCAATAGACAGGTTGGGCTACAAACCACATTTTGTTGAACTAATAGTAATTAAATTACATGATGAAAATGATTAAAGTTTGAAGAATTTAAAAATGAAAATTTAGAAATGACTTTTCAGTAGGGAAGTAATGTCTCATATAATTTAGCGCATAAAAAATAAAACTAGAGTACATAAACGTTTTTAAAACATAATTTTAATAGTAAAAAAATTAGTTGTATTTTTATTTTCTAATTTAAAAGGTAACTTATTGTAGCCCTGGTTTTCAGCCAATCAGCACATTTGATTCATCGGTCAAGTTTGAGACAGCCAATGGTAACGCATAAAAAAACCACGTGACTCTTGTTTTTCTTTCGCCTGTCCCTTCTCATTCTGGAAATTGTCAGGTCATAACACCAAATGTAGAGGAGCGGAGCTGCAGTTTTGTTGCTTTAACGCCTTCTGAGGAAAGAAGGTTGTAAGACATTTAGCTGAAACGGAAACACACAGGCTGGTATGACTTGTTATGTTTTGTGAGGCCTTTAGGCTGCTTGTATCGAGCTGTGTGCTAAGCTAGTTTGTACTGAGCAGGCAAGTCAAGCTTCTGACCGGTTCCGGTGTTTCTGCTGAAAGAGCGAGATAAATTAGCTTCCGTTGTTAGTATTTGTTATCACTTATTCCTCATTTCATAATTATTTTCTTCATTTGTGTTTTTTCCTTATTTTAGTTTCATTTCCTGTGATTTAACTACTCATTTTTCGTTATTCATCACCAGGTAATGACAAAAGAAACATAGATTTCTTTGGATGCATTGACTTCGTTGTCTTCTGAAACAGTATGAATCATAGCTGGGCTCCAAACACTTGGCTGAAACTAGGTAGAGCATCTTTTATGTGGCAAACCCAGCCTGCAGTATCACTTCCCATGTCTGGTACCTTTCACTGTAGGATCCATGCCCAGCAGCCTGGCTCATGCCCTGGTGGATATCTCAGCTTGAGGAGCTTCCTTCATCCGAGGATCAGAAGCAGAAAGTCATGGATCCTCAGAGCTAACAATGTGAAACTTGGGCTCCACACCAGCTCCCTGTATCTAAAGGCCTCAGCTTCACGCTGGTCTGCCGGGTTGAGTCAACACATGTCACGAGTCAAGAGCACCCTGGACACGGTTTCTAAAGCTGTGAGTGGGACACACACAGACCTGCTGTCTAAAATCTCCCGCCTCAGATTGAAAAGTTTAAAAGCGAAGAAACAGACGGAGGTCATTGCTGGGGACGATGCAGTCGAGACAGCTGTTACCACCCTGCCTTCCACATCTACGACACCTAAACCCATAATAGAAACTCCTGCTGCATGTCCCGACTCTTCCTCCTCTGCTGCTGCTGTTCATGCGTGTGCCATTCCCTCCACTGCTCCTAATGGTTCCATCCAAGTGACCGTTCCTGCTACAGGTCTGTCTGTGACTGAAGAGAAGAACATAAAGCTAAAACTTCTCGCTCTTGCAGTCAAAACTGGTTCTCCCAGAAAGTCTGAGGGGCTCCCGACGTCAACGTGTGACAAAGAGAGCAGGAGCATAATTCCCAAAGATGTCCCTGCACTTTTCCATCCCAGCACCTTTTCAGTCAACCTGGATGAAACGTACTCCTCCCTAGCTCATCACATCAACTCCTATTTCAGCAGCAGCACAAAAGCCCAGGACAAGAAAGGGGACATCGTTGACTCCGCTTCCTTTCCGCACCAACAACACACAGACCTGTCTGACAAAACCAACCCAGATGTTCCAGCTGCACAACCCTCCTCTAAGATGAGTTTAGGACAGTACCTTTCCTACTCAGCTCCCACCGTGCAGGCGTTTGTTGGGAACTACATCGACCCTCTTGTCCCCAAGTTCAGAGCCGGAGAGTCCAAAAGTGTGACGTTGGATGAGAAGATGCCTGAGGACAAGTCGGCCAAACAGGCTGAGGCCACAGTCAGTAAAGAGATGGTGGCTGTAGAGGAAAAGGCCAAGAAACTTCTGCTCCAAAGGGAAAAGGTAGGAGTGCACCAAATGTAACATTTGTGGATGAATTTAATGCAATCATAGAACCACTGACTTTGCTGTCAAGGCTCGGATTCTGCCGAGATGTGAGCAGATCATGGGTAGTGCCTATATCAGGTGTTTCTGAGTATCTGCCAGTCACTGTTACTACCCACCCCCTCCGCCCCTCAGGGGGCTTTCATCCTGCCTGACTTCTGGGAGTCTGTTGTCAAAAATAACCCCGCTGTGGAGCTATTAGTTCACAGGCGCTCCGTTCTCTTTAGTGGTGTATGGTAGAGATGTACACATCTCACATCTCCCTCATGGTCTCACTGTTTTATCGGACAAAATATGAAATAGTGTCATTAAAAATTCCTTCCTTTGGTTCCAACATGAAAACAACCGATGAAGTTACCTGACAATGATTTAATGCTCATAAATATAAGAAGTTTTTACAGAAGATGATATGTAGATTATAACCTAAATGGGCCAATAGGTCATTTACATAAAGTTGCTGATGGAAAGTCTAAAACACACAGCTGGACTATTTGAGTGGAAATTGAAAGTAAATTTAGCAGAATAAAACTAAAAACAACTTTATTGATGTAAAAATCCTCATTTTAGCTTAAAATTTGAACCAAATGTGTAAATATTGACTTCCTGTTTTATGTCCATGTGAGTGTCTGTTTATCTGTATTAAGAACCTGGTTAATGTGTTTTATGGGTCCTGATTGTTCCGTTGGTTTCTCTTTTGAGATCATTGCCAGAGTGAGTGTGGACAACCGGACCCGGGCTCTGGTCCAGGCGCTCCGCCGAGCGTCGGATGTGAGGGTCTACATCAGCAGGGTGGAGGACTTGAGCTACCACCTGTTGGAGTTTCCAGAGACTCATGGTGTTGCCGTCAAGGTGAAAGCATCTAAAAAAGTTACATTTTGTTTCCTTTTTCATTTGGTGACATAATGTGTTTGTAGTTAGTTTATTACCAAGTATCCACAGGAGGCTGCAGTAGGGAATGGTTTAAGGCAGCCTGATTAGTCCTGACTAAAGATGTTTGTGTTCATCTGTTCACCCTTCGCCAGCTGCCTGAGGTGAAAGAAGCTAGATTTTACCACCACCCTAATCTGATATTCAAACGTCAGATCACAGTCCACTTTGACCCCCAGGTTTGTGACAGTTGGCTTAACAAACTGGGCCAGGGAATCAACATACACATTGGGGGTCTCAGTAGGACTACCAAAAATCATCACCTCAGTCTTTTTATCATTGAATTTTAAAAAGTTAATCCAATCCAATTTTATTTATAAAGCGCATTCACAAGGCATTACAACCAAACAAGGTGCTGTACACTAAAAATGTTAGTTAATTAAACCGGCGTTATACAAACATGTCGTACACAGATAAAATATAAAAAGGAAATACAACAAAATTCCCAAAAAGAATCGCTAAAAATCAATAAGACACAGGGTGAATAAAAATGAGAAAAAACATTTTAAAAAGAACCTCAATAGTACGGAAGTCGATAATTGTGGAGTCCATTTTTAACAGTGCAGGTGTAAGTGAGGTTCATAATTATGTGGTATAAGCTAGGTTGAAGTAGTGAGTTTTCAGGCGTGATTTAAAAATGCTAGCTGTTGGTGCTTACCTCACTAGCAAGGTTAATAGACATCCAAGCCTTTATGTCATCAAGACACTGAAGTAATGGCTGTATGAGGTATCCGCCTTTTTTCTGAAGAGGGACATAGATCTGACAGTCGTCAGCATACAAGTGGAAAGCAATGCCATGCTTACTCAGTATAGACCCGAGAGGAAGAAGATGCAAAGAGAAGAGGAGAGGGCCAAGAACCGAGCCCTGCGGGACACCACACAAGAGAGGAGCAGAGGACGACACATAGTCACGGAGACTGACACAAAATGTTCGCCCTGCCAAGTAGGACCTGAACCATAACACAACTGTGATGCGCATGTGTCAGGATTAAGGACGGGGAAAACGCCGAGCTCTGGCAATGTGTTAAAATTGTGGTGTCTTATCTGGAAAAAGCGACTTTAAGGTTGGTGGATCTGAAAAATAAGACTGTTGGCAGTGTCATGCCCTCAAAAAAACCGAAACTGCCGCGCCAACAAAAAGAAAATTACGAAGTGGAAGTGTCTCAACAGGTGGGACAAAGTGACATGGCAGGTGCGCAAGAAAGCAAGGAGCTGTCAGAACTGATACGATCGATAATAAGGGAGGAGATGAGTGTGGTGGTTGAAAAACTTAATACCATCACGAATGATATTTCAACTTGTGTAAGAAGACTGGGCCAAGTAGATGGAACCTTGTCTGATATGGATACCCGCATAATAAAGTTGGAAGCGGAGTGCGGAACACTGGAGAGGAAAAATGCAGAGCTGATGGGGAAAGTTGAGCGGCTTGAAATGGATAGCCGTAAAAACAATCTCCGTGTTTTTGGATTACCAGATGAGGTGGAAAAAGGCAAGCCAACAGCTTATATGAATGAACTATTTAAAGATTTATTTCAAGGAAAGCTGGCGTCTGAGCCTGAAGTGGAATGGGCGCACCTGATTGGACAAGAGAAGAAAGCGGGTGGAAGAGGGATGGTTGTGCACCTGCAAAAGTTGTCAATGAAGGAGAAGATCATAGAAGTGATGAAAAAGGAACGTGTCTTACAAGTTACGAGGAATGAAGTTAAGGATTTTTCCGGATCTGACAAGGGAGATGGCAAAGAAACGGGCCGCTTTCTGGGAGATCAGAGCTAAACTGAAGAGCGCAGGAGTGAGACACGGTATGGTCTTTCCAGCTACGCTGATCCTAACTTTTAAAGGAGAGACAAAAAAATTTCAGGAACGAAGTGAGGCTGAGATGTACTGTAAAACTGTGATTGAGCCTGGACTTAAGAAATAATGACGATTGATATCAATTAAATAAGAGCTAAAAGGCGTGAAGATGACGTTTCAAGAATTGGACTGAGAGCACTATTGTAGATCTCGCTATGGTTAACTATTGTTTGAACCCACATAATGATTTATTTTTGAAATATTATGTCATGAGCTGGCAGAACGAAGCAGAAATGTATTTTCATTACAATGTTAAAGATTTTTGTGACTGTGTGTGTGTGTGTGTGTGTGTGTGTGTGTGTGTGTGTGTGTGTGTGTGTGTGTGTGTGAATGTGGTTGGTGTTGGGATAAAGGCTATAATGGAAGCTCAGTGTGAAATCATAAATAGAAGAAATTCAAAACGAATCTTCAATGGCTGATAAAATTTTGTTGCAAAAAGGAGGGTTTAAATAAGCTCATTTGAATGTGTGTAGTTTAAGGAATAAAATAGTTGATATTCAAGATATTGTAGAAAAGTATAATTTACAGGTAATGGCACTAACAGAAACACATTTGGATTTGACAATAAATGGTTCTTTATTAGACATAAATGGGTACAGTCTTTTTAGATTGGATAGAATTTTACATGGAGGTGGTGTTGCTTGTTATATTCAAAATCATATTCCTGTTAAGGTAAGAACAGAGTTCACAATTACAGGTGTGGAAGCACTCTGGTTACAGTTACAATTTCCTCATTTGAAAACTGTTTTAGTTGGATGTTGCTACAGACCGCCGGATGCTGCTATAATGTATCTCCATCAAATAGGTGAAATGTTAGATATGGTTTGTGACACAGGAAATTAGATTTACCTATTAGGGGACTTAAACATAGATTGGAAATCAAGAAATTGCTCATTAAAGAGCAAATTAATCTCATTTGCTAATACTTTAAATTTGTCACAAGTTGTAAAATATTTCACAAGAGTGTAGGCTAAAAATAATGGTGTCTGCTCTAAAACGAGTATTGATTTAATTTGTACTAATATGGCTGAATTATGTTCTGAGGCAATTTCTGTTCCAGTTGGTTGCAGTGACCATAATTTAGTTGCTATTAATAGAAAAGTTAAGGTGACAAAAGGTCAACAATTTATATATAAAAGAATTTTTAAAAACTTTAAAGAGAGTGATTTTGTAGAAGAAATAAAAAAACATAGGTTGGTAAGATGTAACAAAGGAGCAGGATCCAGGTAAAGCTGTAGAGATCTTTGACAAAGGTGATAAATAAACATACAGTAAGAAATGTAGCTTCTCCATGGCTGGATAAAGAACTTAAGGAACGTATGAGGCAGAGGGACAAATTAAAATTAGAAGCAATAAAAACAAATCAATTGGAAACATGGTGCGAATATCGCAAAATAAGGAACATTGTAACCAAACTGAATAAAAACAAGAAACAATTATATTATCATAGAAGAATCATAGAAACTAAATTTGATAATGCAAAGGTGTGGGGTACATTAAATGAACTTATGGGGTTAAAAAAAGGAAGGCACCTACTGTTCTAGAGGCAGATGGAGTTTTTTTTATCAAACCAAAAGAAATACCTGATTATATAAAACTGTTTTTTATCAATAAAATTAAAACATTGAATAATACCAGGGAGGAGAGAAAAGATGAAAATACATCTTATCAAAGAATTAAGGATGATATAATGCAAATGAAAGACTGTGAGTTTAAGTTTATGGAGGTGTCAGAGGATTACATTAAAAAATTAATCTTAAATAGTAAAGATAAACCCCCTGGAATGGACAATATTGATATCATATTGCTAAAATTGGTGGTAGATTTTATTTTACTGCCAGTTTCACATATAATTAACACAAGTTTTAAGAAAAGTATTTTTCCAGCCCAATGGAAAAAGGCAAAAGTAATTCCATTAATCAAAAATAACCGAGAACCACTGTCTGGTGAAAACAGTTGGCCAATAAGTTTGTTACCAGCATTAAGCAAAATTTTGGAAAGAGTAGCATATGAACAAATACAAGAATATTTTATAACAAATAGATTAAACACAATTTATCAACATGCAAATAAGGCGGGTCACTCCACTACTACAGCACTTGCTCAGATTACTGATCATTGGTTAGAAGAAATAGATGATAAAAAGTTAGTTGGTACTATATTTTTAGATTTGAGTGCAGCTTTTGATGTGATTGGTCATAAAATCTTATTAAAAAAATTAGAACGTTATAGATTTCAGTCGTCCGCCATTAAGTGGACAGAAAGTTATTTAACGAATCGCAAATTCAACTTCTATTTTAATGGCAGTTATTCTGAAACAGGTCAGTTAGATTGTGGAGTGCCACAGGGCAGTTGTTTGGGCCCTCTTTTGTTTTATATTTTTAGTAATGACTTACCTTTGATTTTAAAACATGCAACCATGGCTATATATGCAGATGACACTACATTATTTGCATCAGAGAAAACTGAAGGCCAATTAAATGATATTTTGAAAAAGGAGTTGGATTTAGTTACACAATGGATTAGAATGAACAAACTAGAAATCAATGCAGAAAAAACTAAATGCATGATAGTTGGAAATACATATACACTACAGATGACACCTAGACTGCATTTGAAGCTAGGTAATATAGAGATAGAGCAGGTAGAAGAAGCAAGATTGTTGGGGGTAATTGTGGATTCTAGATTGTCATGGACTAGTCACATAAATCATGTCCTGCTGAAACTTGGAAGAAGTATGGGCACAATCAAATATTGTTGTAAATTTATTCCTCGTTTGCAAATAAAAACTTTAGTTCAAACATTAGTACTGTCTCATTTAGATTATGCATCAGTTATTTGGTCTAATTCAAGTGAAATGAATTTAAATAAGTTACAAGTGGCACAAAATAAAGCTGCACGAATTGTTCTGGGTTGTAATTATAGAACAAATGTAAGTATGATGCATGATAGGTTGGCCTGGTTAACAGCGAAATGTAGATTAAAGTATTCACTGATAACATTTACAAGAAATATAATAACTATGAAAAAACCTAAAATAATTTATGACAAATTATCATTTTTTTTCGGACAATCATGATTACATGACGAGACAGACAAGTGACATAAGGTGCGCCTTACCGCGCTGCAGAACAAATCAAAGGCAAAGAGCAGTTTATTACAGAGCCATGGTTGCATGGAATGCTATACCTAGATTTTTGTTATTGGAGAACAACAGAAGATGTTTTCAAAAGAAGTTAAAGCTTTTTTTGTTGACACAACAGTAAATTTTGCACAGTGAATTGTAAATGTGACTGATATGACAGCTTCTATAATTTTTGTTTGTTATGGATGTGATGTGATATGATTTTTGATTCTTGGATATATTTATTTATTGCTCTGTGTAAACTCTCCGTATTCACTTATTTAGATTTCTCATGAACGTTGAAGTGTGTGGTAAATTACTGGTATATCATTATTGCAATTGAGCTGGTATGATTATAATGAGCTCCTGGAGTTTGTTGTTGTTGGGTGTGTGTGTGTGTGTGTAGGGATGGGGATGGGGGGTGTTTTGTAAAATATTTGTAATGAAATTGAAAGAGACCTCAGAAAGAATAGCTCCACACTATGGTGGGAGCTAATGAGGTTCTCAAATAAAATAAAATAAAATAAAAAAACGAAAGGAGCACTCCCCAGCACCCCCTCCAAGGTCTCCAAAAAGGGTGGGTAGTCTGAACTGTAGTTTGGTGCATAAGCACAAACCACAGTCAGGACCCGTCCCCCCACACGTAGACGGAGGGAGGCTGCCCTCTCATTCACCGGGGTAAACCCCAACGTAAAGGCACCGAGATGGGAGGCAACTAGTATGCCCACCCCTGCTCAGCGCCTCTCAGTGGAAACAACTCCAGAGTGGTAGAAAGTCCATCCCCTCTTAAGGAATCTGGTTCTGGAGCCAGAGCCATGCATTGAGGTGAGTCCGACTATATCTAGTTGAAACCTCTCAACCTCACGCACCAACTCACACTCCTTCCCCACCAGAGAGGTGACAATCCATGTGCCAAGAGCCAGCTTCTGTTGCTGAAGGTCAGACCTCCAAGGTCCCCCACTCTTGGCTACTACCCTTCACACTGCACCCGACCCCTTTGGCCCCTGTGGTGAGCCCATAGGAAGGAGGACTCATGTTTCCTCTCCGATCGGGGTCCATGGGTGAAAGCCCGGCTACCAGGCGCTTGCCAACGTGCCTCACCCCAATAGGGATGAGGTGGTGCTCACTCCTCACCCCTGACACATGGACCTCAAGTGATAAACCATCAATCCTGCTCAATGGTCAACTTTCTTGGTGGAGCCACCCAATAGGACAGTGGGAGGGCTAAACGGTGAAATAATAGATTCACCTCCGATTTGCGATTATTATTCATAAAGATTCTGAATCGATCCAGAATTTCCAAGTTTTGTTACTTGAGAAGGTACTTTCCAAACATTTCCTAGCTTATTCGCTGCTCGTCCCGTTAGTAAATGACTTCCGTACTGTATCATTCTAGGAAGTGATGCAGGGACTTCTAGAGCAACCCACTCCATCACTCCGTTACTAAGTGCATGGGGAGCCCATCTAATTCCAGACCATGGGTCCCCAGAAGAACGGACATATGAATACAAGTCAATGGGGCCAAAAATACTATTTTCTAATTCCGCTTGTTTTGTGCCATGGATTTCACATTTGATGTCCGTGAATTTTAGACATATTTTTATACCAAGAAAGCGCTTATTTTCAAATGGGGGGAAACTCTATTTTAGGTTTTGTGTGAAAATAAGTCCAGACTACAAATGTGCATTGCCAAAATGATGTCATCGACCCAGACATGGAGAAAAACAGTAGGGCTGTAAGTTCAGCAAACTTCACATCCTTCTTTGAGAAGGAAAGAACCACCATAAATCTGGCCATGTGGTAAGTAGCAGCTATACCGGGGAGAAGAGATAATTTGGTGATGTAGTCATGCTAATTCTGAACTTTTACAAGCTGATAAATTTCAAAGTATGTGCATGATCGAAACACTGATAAATACTTTATTTAAATTGAAGTACAACATATGTGCGATCCAGGGCATAAGGCAAAGCGGATTAGAAAATAGCTCTTTTAGCCCCGTTGACTTGCTTTCATTTTTTCGTTCTTCGGGGGACCCATGAGCCGACCGGAAAGGGAGGAGACTCAGGCTCCCTACTGATTCTGAATCGAATCTTCACCCCGAAAATCGTAATCGCGATTTGTTGTAAGACCACACCCCTACTAAATGCCAGTTGACGTTTTCTAGGTCCAAACTTTTTTTCATTGTCTGTGACTTCAAATGATGTTTTTTCTTTTTGGGATTCTGGTTGTTTGTCCTAAAGTTGAAGTGGTAGCAGCCAAATGTTTCAGTTTCTCTGATATTATTGAGCCACGAACCTCTCATACCAGTGGTGTTCTGTTGATAAATACCTGAGTGTGTTATGTGGACACCGGTGAATGCGGAAGTGTGATGTAATGGTCCAATGGTTGCTTTTGGACCGAGTCGTGTTTTTAGACAAATCAACAGAGAACAACTCCATGAAGATTTTTCTTTGTTTTCTCCACAGCATATTTATAGCTATACATTTTTAGGACATTTTTAAGACGTGTGTAAAAAAAAAAAAACTGTTGTAAGCCAACTTGTTTAGCATATTTGCCATTACAGCATTAATTTGCATTTACATATGTTTCAGCTAGGGATGCACCAATACTGATACTGGTACCAGTATTGGTAAAAGTAAACCGATACCAGGAACCGATACCAAAAGCCCGAAAGTGTCTTCACTGTAACTTGTCATTTCTGTTCACCTAATATTTAACTCTTATGATAATTTCTATTAATATATTTTATTTTTTATCTACATCAGTCTTTTCCTGTTAAAAGCAGAGATGAAAATGAAACCTGTAATCCAAGTCATTGCATTTTTTTTTGTGTGGTAGAAGTATCGGTATCAGTGAGTACTCAGATCCAAGTATCGGTATCGTATCGATTTGGAAAAAAGTGGTATTGTTGCATCAGTTTCCCTCTGGGATTAATAAAGTATTTTTGAATTGAATTGAATTGAATTGAATCCCTAGTTTCAGTCCATTACATAAACTACTGTGTGTATTCATGTCCCAGCCTTGTCACTGAGAATCTCTAGACCCAAGGTTCTGATTTTAGTTCTGTAAAATGAGTCCACAGGTATCTGTAACCATGGCCTGACTTTCTGGTTAGAACACCTTTAGATGTTGCATCACTGTGGTCCTACTCATTTTACTGATGAAGCTATGATGTTCTGCAAAGTGACTGGACAGTGTATGCATAACAAAACCTCCCTGTCTGAGAGGAGCTCTGTGGGGACATTCTGTTATTCAGGAGACTTTTTCTGTACAGCACGTACGATTCCCTTTGCTGATGACTGCTGCATATTTATGTGTTCCTCAGGAGCAGGTGGTCCCTTGCCTGCTGCGTCTGGAGCAGGCCAACGATCCAGGTTTAAGGGCAGCAGTTAGAGAAGCTCTCACATTAGTCGGTTACCAGAAACCCGTTAAAGGTCGAGGAGTACGGATCTTGTCGATAGATGGAGGGGGTCTGAGGTACAAGATTATTGAGAACAAAGATTTGCACGTGTTAAATCACTCACTAAGGGTCACTAATGCCCAGTTCCTTATGTAAATGTGTGTGTTTAACAGTATCTCTATCTGACCTGTTCCTTTTAGGGGGCTTCTTGCTCTTCAGACGTTACACAAGCTGGAAGCTCTGACTGGCAAGCCCATTTACCAGCTGTTTGACTATATTTGTGGTGTCAGCACAGGTACGACCTCCTCCTGCCCTACTTCTGTGTGATCTATGTAGATTATCCAAGCAGAGTGCGGCTCTGACAGGAAGTCAGGCTCACTGACCCAGTTGTTGCTCCTGTTTTGTTTTGACCTCAATTTAACAGCAGCAATGGTGATGTCAGCACAGCCGCTCTAACCCTCAAATTGGGTCGAAACAGATCAGATTAAAAAGGCCTTAATTTTCCACAGTGTTTTGGTTTTTATACATTGATGGTTGATTCAAATGTACACAAATTAAATGTAGTTTGTGCTTCAGTAAACGTGGCCTCTAGGAGGAGCTGTGGACCATCTTCAAATCATTCTTGTTCTGCTTTGCTGTTCAGATGTGTTTAAGTGGCTGTTCAGGGTTTTTCCTGCATTCAGATTTGCGTGGCGGCCGCCTCCAACTAATTTTGTGCCGCCCCAACCTGATTTCACTCTGCCCCCAGCTATATGGATGTTATTTTAACTGCAGTTGCAGCGTTGCGCCACTACACAGGCGCTGTATCAGCAGCGGTGCACCGAAAAGCACTAAAACTGTTGCAGACAAAGATCAAAAATAGCTTTTCTCTCTAGTTGGTACATATCTATGGTTGGTGCTATTGACATCCTGATTTCCCCCCAGGCTCTTCCACATCAGAGCAGGGCTGTACAGTGTGACGAAAAAGACTGTCTGTGCGTGTCTGTCTATTTTTAAATGTAGCATTGGTGCAACATCTTTGAATTACTATTTCCCCCAGAACTTTATTGAACAAAAGTTACGTGTAAGAATAATGCTTTTTACAGGTGCACAGTGTGGTCATCTGGATGCAGTAGAGGAAAACAAAGGAACCAGCAAAGGCACAAAGGCAGAACCGGTCCAAAGTTTGGGATCAAAAGTGCAGCTACATGCAGATTGGCTAATGCTAGAGCTAACGGGAAGCAGTCTCACGATCAAGTGGCACACAGAAAAATATATGATGATCGTAAAACTAAGAGAGACTGCAAGTGGATGAAAAGTCCCCACCATTCTGTTTATTCTGCATCCTGCAGTGCTATGGATCAGAACCGCTGCAGATACGAGTCACATTACTGCTACAAGTCTGCTCCACACACAGGAGGAGGAAGTACGACAAGCTGTTGTAGTATGTAATTCATAAACGCTTCTATCTTTGAACATAATTTAAACTGGACTATTGCCAACCCGTAAATAATGTGGCTAGTGGTAGTAGTGACAAATTAATGGTTAAAAAATGTAGCAACAACGCCACCCTGGGTTGGGTAGGTTAAAAAAAATCACAATGGGAACAGATAGTTTCTTTTAGATAAACAAATCTTTATTAAAAATCTAAGCTAAAACCCATACGGGTGGAGATAACGGGCTTGGAGTTCAATTATCCCCAGTTAGTCCACAGGAAGTAACCACGTTGACCTAGGGCCAACAAATGCTAGAGGAAGTTAAGGAACTTAACAGACTTTTGAATTTTTATGCTCGCGATTGCCCCCTCAGGCCAAAAGTGTAATGGCAGCTTCAATAGTAGGCTCATGCACGAGGCACGCATGCTGTATGTGTACACTCCTTAACGAAAATAACAGCTGAGACAGTCCCGTGTGTGTGTGTGTGTGTGTGTGTGTGTGTGTGTGTGTGTGTGTGTGTGTGTGTGTGTGTGTGTGTGTGTGTGTGTGTGTGTGTGTGTGGCCCGGAGGACAGGAGAACGCGCAGCTAATTAATTAAATAATTTGGTTCTGTACCCTTCTCTTCAGCACAGCTGACAAAGGTTTAAGATGGGTCAGTCCTCCTGCATGCTCAGATCATTCCCTTCCCTTGCTTGAAAACTTGTTCCAAAATGAAAGTTGAACCCACATCTTTATTATCTGTGAATTCAATGCCGTTCGGCGAGTCTCAAATAAAAATTTGGGCGTCTTACTGTAAAAAAATATACCATTAATGTAAAAAAGAAACTCTAAATAAACTATGTTCACATCCAGAATCGAACCCGGATTTTCTGCACAGAGCAGGGCCGTGCAGAGACCTTTGACGGGGCGGGTGCTCAAAGTGAAAAATAAGGGGCACTTATAGAGCAATCCAACAAGTTAGAAAATTCAGATAATGAGACCCTTGGGTTCAAACAACATAATAAAAATATTTCAATTAGTGTAGTTAGTGTTAATGTTAGTTCATAAATAATAGTTTTAGTTTTTAAAGCTGACTTATATCTAGAGATGTTACAACCACATTTTTGCCCCTGATCCAAGTCCAAGTTGTTTGATTTTTGATTATCTTCCAATACTGAGTCTTGTTCTGATACCAGGTGGTAATGCAACGCATTATAAAAGAAGAAAGAAGTCGTCCTTCAGTCTGTATTTGTCATTTTGTTATTTTTGCCTGAAAAGGTCATTCATTCAGGAAGTACATTTAACAGGAATCAAGATAAGGTATTGCTATTGCACAGGTGTACAACCAAACTGACTTTACGCCTACTTAAGACAGCTCTAGTAAGAGGTAGTAAAATAAATGTAAAATAATGCAACCACAGAGAGTTATCCAGTGTGATCTACAGCTATGTTAGCTGAGATCTTTTTCCTGTCAGTAGAAAATTCTTGATCCCATTCCATGATCTCACTGAACTTAACACTAAACATGAGAGCTCTGCTACCAACCTAACAACAACACCCTTTACACAAAGGCACCATCATCACATACGTGGCAGGAGTCTCAGAGAAACTTAGAAGAATCTTCTCCAAACACAAAATCCCGGTAAACTTTAACCCAACAACACCCTCAGACAGAACCTGGTCCATCCAGAAGACAAAACATCCAAACAGAAGCTCAGTGGGGTTGTTTATGCAATCCAGTGTGGTGAGGACTGTCCAGATGTTTACATTAGAGAAAGTAAACAACAATTACACAAGAACATAACACAACACAGGAGAGCCACCTCTTCAGGTCAAAACTCAGCAGTCCACCTTCACCTGAAGGACAAGGGACACACCTTTGAAGATGACAAAGTCCACATTCTGGACAGAGAAGATGGATGATTTGAGAGAGGAGTAAAAGAAGATATCTATGTCAAAACGTGAAAACCCCACTTTAAATAGGGGCGGGGCTTAGATTTCACCTTTCCAGCACCTATAATGCAGCTTTGGATCTCATTTCTAAGCAGTTTCAGTCTAGGTCACACCTTCCTGCATCTAATCAACACAATGACTCACCATCAATAGAGGCTAACGACTCATCAGGAGATGGAGAGGCGGGGTACTCAGAGTAGTTTCTGCTCTTTAAATAACGACAGACAGCTACAGCTTATAAATTTGGCTCTCCGATATTCCAGTTAGAACTGACAAAGCTCCTCAGAGGAGAATTGAAATGTTTTAAAGAAACCAAAGAAGTCCAGTTGCCTTCATCTGAACTCTTTGGGGTAATAGTCAATAATAAAAAATACATAATAAAGTAATAAAACGTATGTAATTATGCTCACATTCACTTTTACCATCTCTTTGTGGGAGGCGGAAAATTTATCACAGTTAACCCTCTTATGACCATAAATATAACTGGTATGTATATATATTTTTTTGTTTTATGGCTTTAAATTTGTAAAAAAAAAAAAAAAAAAAAAAAAAGTGTAAAATGTTTGTAACTCTGCTGGTTTTTTCTGAACAACCTCAGCTTTCAGTGTCTGGTTTGTATTTGTATTTATGTTTATTAAAGTCTGTAAAACTGCAGCTTAAATGAAAAAAAAACAGATTTGAATTTTCTTTACATTTATTTCTAAACAGGGACGTCAAGATGACTTGAGCAAACTATGTCAAAATAACTATTTAAACTCAGAACTGCAAACACTCAGAAAACAGTGTGACCCCTGACCTCATGTTAACCAGTTTAATGACTGCAGCCTGTCTGTGACCACAGGTCTACGCTCTGGTCCAGAGAACGGGTTACAGTAAAATAAATACTAGGTAACATAAAATAACTCATAGGCTACTTCACAGCTGTAGCTACATTTCTACCAGCATTATGAAGATCAATAAGCCAAATAAAAGGTGAAAGCTAAACATTTCATTACAAAAAGTCAACTAATAAAATTCTGCACTGATAACATTATATTTTCAGCTAAATAAATATTTATTGTACGTATAAATAATGCTGGAATGAAGCTGAATCATTTAGTAAACAGCTGAGTGTTCAAATAAAAACCATTGTGACTTTAGTCTGTCCCTCCTCATGTCACCATCTACAGAAACAGCCTTCTGGGACACCTGACCAACCAGGTGGATTTTATTTGTGACGTTTGTTTCCATAACTTTATAAAAGCTGTTGTTGAAAATGACCAGACTGTCTCCTCCCTTTGGTTCTCTGCTCTCCCGTCGCGGTCCACACCGTTTCTTTCTGACGCTGCAAAGCTGGTTTCCTTCTAATAGCGATTTTTGGAGTAACATGAATTACATCATGTAATACATCGTTGGAAAGCTCGTTTTATGTACTTTTAGAAACCATTTGAATTATTTTTATTCGATTAGTAATTCAGAAGTTATGACCCGGAGAATCTAGAGTGAGAAACATCGGTGATTCTTTGTTGTGAGTTTATTCAACACTTCAGGAGAAGTCTCTCTCATGTCTCATTTTCTGTCCCAGACATGCAGCTACCTGACTCTGCTCCACACACACTAACCACGGACTCAAGCCCACGTAAACAAAAGCTCTGATATTAAAATCCATCCAGCTGACGTGCAGGCAGAAAAAAAATTTACAGGTTGGTGAACGCAGTCTCCTGCCCGCAGGCGAAACACTGGTCTTTCGTCTCCATGGCTACAAGGTAGAGCGACAGCAGAGACAACCAATCACACGTTAGTATGATGCGGCAGAGCCAATCGGTGAGTTTGTAGGCGGGTCTAAGTGTTACGTCCCTCAGCTCGCTAGGAGTGATGTGGAAGAGGGAGTAAAAGATGTATTGTGTAGGATTAATAATAACCAAGTAAATGTGTCTCCAACAAAGGATTTTATTTAACAAACAAAGAGCCTATACAAAAAGGAGATAAGACTAACAAAAAGCGCCAAGCCAAAAGGGCTGGGAGGAGGAAACTAACTAACTGAAATATTCACTATATAAACAAAACACTAAACTAACGAGAGCCGTCCTGTTAAGCAGAGACGCTCGGGGGAAATCCAAAAGGGGAGTCGAAGGCCAGTCCAAAGTCACAGTTACCAGGAATCCTAACGAACGAGAGTTTATCACAACCAAAGTACCACGAAGCTAAACACAAAAGCACACGAGGAGAAGAGAGAAGCCTGAACACCTTCGTGCCCACACTTCCCTGTACCTTCTCCTAGACCGAGGGCAGGAGAGCAGCTTTTAACAGCTGTCAAGAGATTATCAGTAATTGCAAACAGCTGGCCAATGGGAGACAGATGAGGCAGAAGCCACTGAGGCCATCTTGTGACCGAAAAGGGGCAAGGCGCGTAACACTAAGGGAAGGTAGGCTTCAGCTTGAGGCGGCTGCCTCCGCATGGTCCTAGTGCCTGATAGGTATCACAGTATAACAGTTCTTTATGGTAAAATCTGATGAACGACCGGAAAAAGGGCACTTTGGGCACTTCGGACAAAAGGGGCAGGTGCTCAAGCACCCCCCCCCCCCCCCCCCCCCCCCCGCACGTGCCTGGCACAGAGTATGCATGTGCTGGCGCATGGTCAGGATGGTACCACCTCTGCCACAATTTGAGCCAGGAAATGCCCTGCTGTTTGGTGAACTTCTCTCAGTTTTACTTAAGTTTCAGAGCCACTAAATGTTGCCTGATAATAATATTTCAGCCTACCTGTTTGATTAAACAGAAATCAGATTTCAGATCTATCTGGTCCACTTCTCTCTGCTGATACCCTTCTCTCACCCAATTGTTTTACTCCCATAATTGGGTTTAATATCTATAAACATGGGATTATCTGATGTGATGCTGAAAAATCTCATAGTCACATCAGTTCCCAGAAGTGTTGTGTCACAGGAATTACTGGATCGAGCCGTAACGTCCCTCCATCTGCAGCTCTGAGGAGCTTCATGCTTTCCAGAGTCAGCGACCAAACATGATTGTTGTTAACGGCATGAATTAATCTGATTATTTTATCCTTTAAATGTTTTTGTGTATTTATTTATAGGTGCTGTCATAGGGTTCATGCTAGGTCTGTTCCAAATCCCGGTGACAGAGTGTGATGATCTCTACCGGAGGCTGGGCTCAGACATCTTCAAACAGAACGTGATCGTGGGAACCATGAAGATGAGCTGGAGTCACGCTTTCTACGACAGCGAAGCCTGGGAGAACATCCTCAAGTCAGTTTTTGGGTTACTGTACACAACAGCAGCCGTCCTACCTGAACCAATCAAACTAATCAGTTTAGATTATATTATAATTTGTTTTTATTATTCCATTTTATTTATCTTCACTAAACTGTTAAATCTTAACTGTGCATCGCTCAGTGTTAAAGTCAGTTATCTAAATAAAGTTAATTTTGAGTATTTATCATGCAGATGTTATAAGTGAATGTAAAAATTTGTTTAAATTATGCAACAGCACTGTGCTGCCCAAGGATGTGCCTGACTTAAAATCGGCTTTACGAAGGGCCAACATCGGCCGATGCTGGTGTATAAAACTCAGTAGGTATTGGCTGACTGATATATCAGTCTACCCCTCGTTCTTTGACTGTTTTTGTTTAACAGTTAGCTTATTTTACAGATTTACCATTGGCCCTTTAAGGTGCAATACATTTTCCACCCCTAGATGGTGCCCTCTGAGAGAAAACTCCATATTTAGGCTTTACCCAATGTTGACAGCCTGATGAAGTACATTTAACTTCTGGTAAACATCTTATAAACCTTAGAAAGCAGTAGAAGTGTCTTAAATACTGATTAAATCATCTTCAATTCCTTTAATAATACTAATGTTTACTTTATTTTCTCCAAAAGAGCCAAATCATTGTTTTAATGGGTCTCATGGAAATGTGCTTTTTCTTTGGATATTTGCAACTTTTGCTTTTGTTGTTGGTCCATCTTTTTACATGACAGTTTTTAAAATAACGTCTTTCAAATTTTATTTTATTCCTGTCAAAGCTTTTTATATGGTGTCTAAAAGTTAGTTAACTAAAAGAGGTTGTTGAGTTGATTCTAGGAGCCTGTTTCTGGTGGAAAAATTCAAATGAACTCCTGCACTCTCACTTACTGTTACTCAAACATCATAAACCATAAGAAAATCTGCTTTTCTGGAAGTAAAATGCACAAAAAATATTTTTTTGTTTTATATTTTTAATATTTTTCCACCGAAATATTTCATACTAAACCAGAAAACACACTTTTCTACGTTTCCACAGAGAGAAAATGGGCTCTCAGCTTTTGGTGGAGACTTCTAGAAACCCTGAATGTCCCAAGGTGAGTTTCATTCTCCACTCTTGTGCTTTGATTCTGACCCATAAATCACCTAATTTTTGTTACCGGTTAAAACCGTTTTCTCTCTGGTGTCTATGCTATGCAGGTAAATGGATGATAAACTGTACAACCGAACAGCCGCGTGCTTGAAGAAGCACGTGGGATTTTAAATGTCAGCAGGGTTCTGTGAGGCTCGGGGAGCAACGATGATAATAAACTGATCTGTCAGAATGTCACAGATATCAGCTCCTCATTTTCCACCTGTTCTGTCATTAAATGCAGCCTTTTACCACTAAATAAAGTGTTTTCTTTGCCTGTAGGTGGCAGCGGTGAGCACCATCGTGAACCGGGGCCTCCCTCTCAAGGCTTATGTTTTTAGGAACTACAACCAGCTGCCTGGGGTGCGCTCACGCTACCTGGGGGGCTGCCATCACCAGCTGTGGCAGGCCATCCGTGCCACATCAGCAGCTCCCGGGTATTTCCAGGAGTTCAGACTGGGAAATGATCTCCACCAGGTCAGTCATGCTTAATTCAGCAGGATGTGCAACAGCTTCATTTTTTCCTGGCAAAAGGTTTTCTGGGTCCTCTGTAACACTAGCAGAGGACACACACACACACACACACACACACACACACACACACACACACACACACACACCACACACACACACACACACACGCACACGCACACGCACACACACACACACACACACACACACACACACACACACACACACACAAACAAACACAAATAAACACACACACACAAACAAACACAAATAAACACACACACACACACACACACACACACACTGCAGTCCTCTGCTGCTTGCTGCAGAGCTCATTGTTGAGCTGCTGAATTGAAACGCCATGTGCATTCACCGCCGGTGTTGGGAGTGTTTGAAGGATTTCAACAAGCCTAATGAGAAAAGTCCTCTGCACCCTGAGTGGGGAGGAAGAAACTCTGTTTCCTTTTTGTCTGTGTTTATCTCCAGTCAGCTACATTTTTAGTAGTGTGTGTGTGTGTGTGTGTGTGTGTGTGTGTGTGTGTGTGTGTCCATTTCCAGTAAAGTGTTTTGCATCAGCCATCAGAAACGAAGCACAGGTCTAGTCTAACATTTTCTGATCAATATGCACGTCTGCTCTGGACGCGGGCAGAACTGGATGTCATTATTAAAATCCTCGGAGAAAACTTTCATGCAATTACAGGCATTAATGTGAAATAACTAAAAAATAGAGACAAATCACCAGTTTATTCTCCTGTTTTGAAATTTATTTGAAGTGACCTGTGTTAAACCCGCCAGACTCAGATTCTTCTCATACTGGCTTTCCGTATTCAGGCATGATGTACGGACTCTTGACATACTGAATTAAGACACAACACACAACTCCACATCAAAGGCCGAATCCTGCTTGTGAGCTTCAATGCCCCTAATTGGAAGTTGTGTTCGTGTGTGTGTGTGTGTGTGTGTGTGTGTGTGTGTGTGTGTGTGTGTGTGTGTGTGTTTGTGTGTGTGTGTGTGTGCAGGAGGGAGAGAATAAAAGAGACTGGTTGATGAAAACTTACCTATGGAGGGAGATTTCCCCAGAATGCAGGGCTTCCTCTACTTTGAAATAAATAAATTATCCCAACAGAGCTTCGCTCCTAACACACACACACACACACACACACACACACACACACACACACACACACACACACACACACACACAATAAAAGTGTGTGTTACATCTGCTTTGTCAGAATGAAGACAGACAATCTAATTATAGAACAACTTCACCCAGCTCTACTGAATTAATTCAGTTTATTTATTTGATGCCAATTCACAGTGAAAGTTATCTCAAGGTGTTGGACAGAAATGTAAACATGTTTGGGTTCAGTTTAATTACTAATCCTTTATTTAAGCCAGTCTGTGCTAATTCTGGCCATTTATAATCTAATTATAATAGTCAAATTCACTTCTTTTGGGACTCCACTCAAAAGAAATGTCTACATTCAAAAGGTAAAAAAATAGATTTTTGCAAATAACAATATATAATATTATTTTAAACATTTAAAATTATTTACATTAAGCAAATGTCTTTACTAAAATTAGAATAAAACTGTGTCTTTGAATATTTGAACTTCAGTTAGTGCTGAGATATATGGCCTAAAGTCAATATCACGATATATTGAAGGTTTCACCTTGATAACAATAAATGGACGATAACTACAGGTATGCGCAGAAACAAACGTCCACTAGATGGGGCTGTCGTGTGCCTTACATTGTGTCTTGTCATGTGACTGGAGGTGGTACAGCTTTTCAAGGGACTTAAACGTCGCCAACCTACACACATCTTTTCATGGGAAAAATTATATTGGTTAGAGCCAGAAATTTTGATAACGATAAATATTCGATTCATCGCCCAGCCCTAACATCAATCCAGATTTTGAACTTTTGAAAACTACTAACTTCCACATTGTTAGGGTATTTACAAACGTAAAATAACTTCATTTAAAATTTGGTTTTAAGTTCAACAATGCATTTATTTAACCTCTATATTTTTTCCTCGTTAAAAATGTCCTCTATTTTCTATTTTCTTTTGTTCCAAACATTTTATTAAGATGGTTTAATATTGAGTTGAAAACACTAATATCAAACTATAGTTTACCAAAAGAGAACTGAATGTGATTTAAAGAGAAAGTGTGTAGTTTTTACCATTAATCTCTGGAAATATCCATCGAAATGTTGTTTAAAAGGAATTAAATGGTGCCCATAGTACATGGGAGAGGGTATGTTCACACTGTAGATGCTCAATTCCAAATTTTTGAGTAAATCCGATTATTTTGTGTGGCAGTTCACATTACGACTGAAATGTGACATCAAACTATCTCCAGTGTGAATGCTCCACGGCCCCAAAGCGACCCGCATGTGTAGAAGACAAGAAGTCACACACACACACGAGCTGGAACCAGGAGAGGCAGAGTTGTGATGTGAAGAGCCTCACTGACAGTTCATCCACATATTCAGGATACCACCTGTCAAGTCTCCCATTTTGGGCTGGAAACTGTTTTAAAATCTGTAAACTAATTTAAGACGTATTCCCGCCATCTTTCTGAATTATTATTGGCTGAAAATGTTCCAGTGTTTTATTCACGGAGATGCCCCCTCCTCCCTTCACAGAGACCGAGACCGGTGAGACACTTGCTCCAGCAGCACCTCCAGCTTTTCTGTTTGTAGATTTTTAATTCCAAAACCTGACAGGAGGTCCAGACAGACTTCTGAATCCTTCTGTCAGCGCTTCTTCTCAGGAACACTCCCCTCCGCTGACACAGTGACGTAGAAGGTGCGACATGACCGTTCAGACTGTAGTCACTTTTGAAAACATCAGATATGTATCGGAATCAGTACCACATATGAAAGTAACCATGGTCGGATCACACATCAGATCTGTGCTGTTCAGACTGTCGTAAAAAATCAGATGTGGGTTGCATCTGGGGAAAAATAGGATTTGATGCTTTTGCCTGCAGTGTGAACACAGCCTAAGGGGTGTTTCTGATGTATTTGTCATTTTGCTGGAGGTTGCGCTCCCAGGGATTTTTGAACCTAATGGCCATCTGTTGGTAAGGCCTTACTCTAACACAAGAATACTACTTGCTTGCAATGATTTAAGTACGTAATGGCCCCCATCACCAGGGAAAAATACACATCGTCACATCAAGCAACATTTACAATAGTCACATTTTTAAATGATCAGTTTAAAGCAGTATGTAATCAGATTAGTAGCAGTTTTTCATGTTTAGGAAGCATCGAACTACAGCCAACCTAATGATGTTATTTACTGTTGATGCATGATGTCAGGATTCCCCAGAGAATCTTCCCTGTTTTCCACCAACGCCCACTGACTCCTTGGCTTAATTCAGGCTCCAGACAATCATCCTTTTGTGGTTCGAGTGCAGGAGTTTCCACACCATGTGTAGACCAACTGTTGGCCATTTCATAATGTTTCTGAGAGTCTGCAGGTTGGAATAGAAACGTGGCCGCGGGGGCTTTAGGGTAGATTCTGACTAGTGACTTTGGTGAAACCGTAACTTGGAGCCCTTTGAAGTGGGGCAGCAGTGGTATTATCAAAGCTTAGCCCTAGCTACCATAGCCCTGGAGAGGCTACTTTGTGAGGGGGCAACAAGAAAGAAAGAAAGAAAGAGGTGATAAATAGAAAGAGGAGGTCCCTGTTCCACATTAAAGACTCTGTTACCTCAGCTAAAAACCACTAAACAGAAGCAGATGACCTCAGGCGTTTAGAAAAGATGCTACTCCATGTGTGGAATGGCGAGAAGGGTTGAGGTTATTTTCTTGTTAGTTGCCATGGCGTCTCCTCAAGTGATGGGGAGGAATGGGAAGCTTGCTTTGTGCCCACCGTTTCCAGTATTTGATGGGGGGGACATAAGTAGAGGACCAGTACCTCCCAGTGCGACCCAATGAGAGCCCCAGCTTGACGGACTGCTCAACAGGACAACTTCACACCTCTGCAAATGGAATAGGTCAGATCCACGATCTCATTTCTCCACTAATGAAAAAGCAAATATCAAGCATTAGTTTAAGAAGACATTAAGTGTGTGTGCTTGGAGGAGAGGGGGGCAGAGAGCATCACATAGTGAAGCGCTTTTCCAAAAGGGCAGCTCAGGAAGTTTCAGCCCCTTGGACTCTATTTTCATTAATTATTTTCTGGTTGAAGTTTTCAGTAGTAAGCCATGCATTAGGCACTGTCTCAGCTAAGTGAATGGGGCTGGGGGGTCAGACTTAGGAGAGTAACCGAGGGTCAATCCGAACCTTTAGTTGCTGCCACGTCCCATCACTCTCCTCCTGTGTTGGGACTTGATATTGGGGCTTAAGGGTTGCTTTTTCACATTTTCCCCATAAATGAGCAAAGGTTTTTGCTGACATTTATTGCATTAAAGTTCAACTTAATTTTTTTTCTCCTTATCGAAACTTGCATTTTTGTCTATTGTTGGATGGGTGCAGGTTTGTGATGATGATGCTCCTGATGTGGTCATGCATGAAAAATGTGAGAAAATTCGTAAATGTTTGCCAAAGTTTACAAAACCCAGAACCTGAGACAGTTTAAGCATCTCGGCACAAACATCTGATAGAATTGAAACACTTTTCTGGGTATTAGACTGGTCCACTGGTTATGCTGAGTGTCTACAGTGTGAAAAAAGTCCAAATTCTTTTTCCGAGTCCACCTTCCCCTTGTCTTCTCAAAGTGAAACACTGAAAGGACAAGTCTGTTTTTAGACAGGAGTGCCTCCAGGTTTAATTTCGTGGAATAAGTCGCTTCTTTAAGTCTTCGTCTGCAGTTTGTTCAACTTCAGATATGTTTTTGTAGCCAAAAACAAAATAAATCAAGGTGTGCAACATGCTGAAAATGTTTCACCACATAATGTGAATTTACAACTTATTTCTGTAACTTGTGTATTTAGACACCAAAGTGCACATCCAGCACTTGCTTTGCTAGCCGGAGACAAAGATCAATAGGTTCCTCTTCATTTTAAAGCCTTTGAAGATGATTTGACCCTCAAGTGTGACCTTAAGGGTCTGTAAAGCTAAAAGGTTATGAGGAGAACTAGTCGACATAATCACATAATTTGGCCTGAAGTCTGCTATTTTGACCTGACCACTGACACTGATTTTATTTTCATCTTCGACTCACACAATGGTTTCTTTTCTATAGACTGGATCTCATTTAGAGCTGCCACAGCTTTTGTTCTCTTGACTAATTTATTGATCGTTCTAAGCAATTTATTTTCTTCCAAAAGTCAACAATTTTATTGTAATTCATTTTATTTTTAATAATCCACTTTGGTGACTGCAGGATGTGTTCCAACTACAGGGGGATCATACTCCTGAGCCTCCCTGGTAAAGTCTATTTATGGGGTTCTGGAGGGTGCGTGGGAGTTCGCCCAACCAATCTACATGTGTGTTGTTTATGATTTGGAGAAGGAGTTTGACTGTGTACCTCGGGAGGCCTTTTGGGGGTACTTTGGCAGTATGTGGTACCAAACCCCTAAATATGGGCTGTTAGGTCCCATTATGACCGGTGTCAGAGCTTGGTCCTCATTGCCGGCAGTAAGTCAAACTCGTTTCCGGTGAGAGCTGGACTCCACCAAGGCTGCCCTCTGTCACTGATTCTGTTCACATCTTTTAAGGACTGGATTTCTAGGCATAGCCTATAAAAGCCTCTCTCGTATGACCGAGCTTCTCACCCTGTCTCTAAGGGAGAGCTCAGACATCCTGTGGAGAAAACTCATTTTCGCCGCTTGTATCCGCAGTCTCACTCTTTCGGTCACTACCCATAGCTCGTGACCATAGGTGAGGGTAGAAATGTAGATCAAACGGTAAATCGAGAGCTTTGCCTTCCAGCTCAGCTCTCTTCACTACAACAGACCAGCCACTTATCTGGGGTGGGGTCGTGGAGGCAGCAGCCTAAGCAGGGAGGCTCAGACTTCCCTCTCCCCAGCCACTAGGGCCAGCTCCTCTGGTGGAATCCTCAGGCGTTCCCTGGCCAGCTGTGAGACGTAGTCCCTCCAACGTGTCCTGGGTCTTCCTTTAGGCCTTCTCCCGGTCAGACGTGCCCGTAAAACACTCACCAGGGAGGCGTCCAGGAAACATCCTAACTAGATGCCCGAGCCACCTCAACTGGCTGCTCTCGATGTGGAGCAGCAGCGGGTCTACTCCTAGCCCCTCTTGATGACCAATCTTCTCACCCTATTTCTATGTGAGAGCACAGCCACCCTGTGGAGAAAACTAATTTATTCCATTTGTATCTGCAATCTCATTCTTTCGGTCACTACCCGAAGCTCGCGATCATAGATGAGGGTATGAATGTAGATCAAACGGTAAAGCAAGAGCTTTGCCTTCTGACTCGGCTCTCTTTTCACCACGACAGATCAGTACAACATCCTCATCACTGCAGATGCAGCACCAATCCGCCTATCGATCTCACGCTCCATCTTGTGTAGTATACTTCTTAGAGTGAATATAGTGGCCTTTGCCTTTCAGACACTTGTGCATAATGCTTCCGCTGAAGTGCTGACCCAAGGGATCCATGCAAAATGTACAAATCACCATTTATAGAATAGAATAGACTTTATTAATCCCAAAGTGGGGAAATTCCCTTGGTACAGCAGCACCAACACTTAAGAGAATAATTTGAAGAAAAATAACAATAAAGTACATGTATGTACACATAAGCACTAAACTACTACTACAGACATACGATGTAAATCCGGTATTGCACAAGTATTGAACACTTACTGAGTAATTCATTTATCATTCACCTGCATGAAGTATTCATATTTTCAACACTCGTTCTGTTTTCTGACTTTTTATATTGTCTGATTTAAGATTGGAGCATACATAAGCTTGGCTTAAACTACCATTATTGTTTTGAGACTGTAGCTAAGCGGAGCCATCCAACAGCAGTAGCTGAATCTGACTGATATACACAGCGTCAACCAGTGTTCTGGAAGAAAACTAATAATTTGGATAAAAATGTTGACACAGGCAAAGTAATAGATGTAGGAATGTAGGGTGGAAGCTGAAGCCACAAGGAGCCGATGATCCCCTATTGGATGGCTGCTGTACAGGTTTAAAGTCCCGCCCCCTCCATGTCCTATAAAACATAATGGCGCCTGTAAATGAGGTATTTTAGCTTCACTTTTCGAATATAAGAAGAACATTGAGACTTTGTCCAGTTATTATTGGAGTAATTTATAAAAGCTAAAGGTTGACTAAACATGATGTGTTAAAGCTGACAACTTATCACGGTCAACTAAGTCTCCTGTCTGCAGCAGCTTCTTAATTTACACAGTTGGTTGAAGTCGACAGAGATATTTATGTTTCTGGTTACATAAGGGTGAATTTTCCAACAGCATTTATAATGTGGAAAATTGTCCTAAACTTTAGAAGACTTTTTGCAGCCTAATTATCTTCTTATAAACTGTTTCAGTGTCTAAGGGGTAAAAAAAAGCCCTGTTATTGTGACAGTGGTGTCCTCGGCTTACATAATGCTTTCCTAATAACTACCCAATTATTTCTGAGAAGAAGCCTCGTTTGCAGAACTTCATTATAAATCACCGCAGAGCTGGAGCTCAGTCCAGTTTCCATCAGAGAAGCCAGAGGAGAAGGTGTAACGACCACAGCGCTCATCACTGATATTTACAATAAAGTCTCGCTACATCTTCTTCTTTTCCTATGGCTGTTAAAAGGTGACCCGAAAACAGACAAGCTTTGAAGATTACCCAAGAGTTCAAAGCAAGATAGATGCAGAGGACACACAAACTGAGTAGAAGATAAAGTTTACAGTCTGGACTAATGGGAGCTGACACACTCTGAGGCATGAAATGACTTTTACTGATTCTGATGATAGCACTATGTTTGAATAAATATTTCAGTGTGTAAATGATAAACTCGTCTCTAAAGGTGGAAAAAAATGATAAAACATTCTTTGTGGTATTCCATCATGACCAAGTGAGTTGTTTTTGTTTTGTTGCAGTTGAATATGGAAAGATAATACTAGTTGAGAAGCATTTATGATCACCAAGAGATCATTTTTACAGATCTCTCAGACTTTAATTAGATTCTCACTGCTGCAGCTCCCTCACAGTCATCGTTAGGAAAGGTCACGTTATGCAAATTTTAAAGCTTTTAAATTTCTTCTAAGTCGTTTCTCAACAATCAGCGACTGTCGGCCTTATCTAAGCAGCAAAATGAAAATGTGAATAATTAATGGCTGTGGAAAAAAATGCAAGCTGAGAAGAGCTGTTCTCTCAGTTTCTCTCTGTAATTTAGAAAAAGAGTTGAGGTCTGGAATGGAAACAAAACTTGTTTTTACAGAAATGCTTGTAGCAAGGCAAATTAAAGCCCTGTCTGATGGGAGAAATATATTTCAGGAAGATTTGAAACCTCCTGCATGTCCTTTTACGCTCAACACAATCATGGTCAAACACCAGGCTTACACCCTCTAAGGTCTAAACTTAGGGTGTTTCTCAATGCCAAGGAACCATGCCTTGATGTTTTGGCCCCACCCCAGTTGCCTAGGAGATACGTCATCAGGAGCCGCCAAGAGGTGTTCCAATGTTCATGTTCTACAGAGGCATGTGTTCTCCGTTTGTTAGCCGTTTAGCTAACTCAGCAAGGATACATGGGAGGTGTCTTGTAGCCTAGCCTTGGCCAAAAATTTCCCAGAATACGCCGCAGTATTTTCAAAGGGATGGAAGATCAGAAGCCGGCAGCTACTTCGGGGGCCAATTTCAAGTTTAAAAGTAAGTCAACTAGGGCTGCAACTAACGATTATTTTCATAATCGATTAATCTGTCGATTATTTTTTCGATTAATTGATTAATCGGTTTGTTATTGTTTAGCTATTTAACCTATACAAGTGATGAATACATTTCAGTTAAGAAAAAGAAAAAACATAAGAGAATTGTGCAGTTGACTGCAATCTATTTTATTGCACATGACCACAGTCAGCAGTGTAAAATGAGCTAAACAGTGCAAAATATCAGTCCAGAATAATTTTTTGGCATCAAAATATAAGAGGTAAATTCCATAACAAATAATGTAGAATCTGGAATAGAGTTTGTAAGTGGTATGCATTGCTGGGGGTGAGTGTCTTGTTCCCCATGTAGTTGTCCATCGTTGCTTGTTTTTTTCTGCATAAGAAACACAAATAAACTGAATTAAGTACACATATAAAATAAAGCAGCACACACACTACAACACTAAATTAATATTACATTATTTGAATTAATTAACAATATACAGTGATCATTTATTTTGACAAAAATGTGTTGTGAGGCGTTTTACAGCGTTAGATAGTAAAACAGCCTTTTAATAGTTAAAAAAAGGACTTTCTGAATTTCTCCTGTATTTAAAAATTGAAAGCGTACAACTATGCCGCGTTATATTCACCTGGACACAGCTCGTCTGTATATTTTTCACCGCGGAGTTGTCCTTTTTTGAATGAGGAACACAGTTATGGGTTTGTGCCGTTTTTCTCTTAACGAGAACATTCTTATAAACAGACGTGCTAAATTTGGCAAGCGCATGATTCACAACACGGAGGAGATTCACGATTGCATCTAGTCAATCAGAAGTAGAACACCGTAAACTGACGCGGCAAAAAAAAAAAACATGTTTAACATCCACTATAACGAACTCAGCTAACACTAAGTCCCAAATGTGATCTGCGTTAGCTTGTTTATTTTCTGTTACTTACCGGACATTCCTCTGCTGCATCAGCCCCCACGTTTTCGTCTCAAATGTTCACTTAGGGACGTCGTGCTTCCGTCGTGCCATGGTTTTTGCATATTTTGTAGGTCACCGGTCTTTTCAAGGCATCTAGTGAAGTGCTCCCATACTCGTGAGGTTTTTGTCCGGGGTTTCTCTTGTTTTGTCGCTTCTATTTTTCTTCCGTATTTGTTGTTGATCCGCCATCTCTCACAGCAAGATGCGCGTCAGTAACGTGATACGTCATGAAAACCGAGGGCACTTATTGGCTAATTTCTTCTTCTACGGCCCCACTGGTAGATCAGTGGCTCATTACTGCCACACACTGGCGGCAAATTTAACAGATTGTAACCGATGTCAGATTGTGGTAAAAAATAGACTTTATGCGGTAAAATATGATTATTAAACAACTAATCGATGACTAAAAAAGTTGTTAACTATTTTAATAATCGATTATAATCGATTAAATCGATTAGTTGTTTCAGCTCTAAAGTCAACTGATTAAAAATGTATTTTTTTAGATCCAAAGAAGCTATCTATGGTTGGTTAGTTGCTTATTAGTTGCAGCTTTGGTGGCTAGCTGGTAACTCGCTTATATATTTAATTTGACAAAATGTAACAAATATATACACAATTTAAAAAGTAAAAGTCTCGTTATATATTTATATTGAAACTAATACGTATAAAATTTAACTTTATCTTCCATGCCCCATGATGTTACGTGACCGCCGTCGAAGCCATGGTCATGTGATGAAAGTCTGTTCCATTTAACCGTTTTCTTTGACCAAGAAAGGACAGTGTCCTGGTAAGTAAGGCGCCTGGCCTCGCAAGACATCACCTCGCAAGGTCAGGCGCCTTGACATTGAGAAACACCTTTAAAGTTTTAACACCTTTTCATGAAGCTGACCCTTTGTATTTTATAACTGCTGTTACTGTGGCCATTGGTGGCCCCTAGAACTATATATCCATTTCCACTATTGGAACTTCGGGTAATTTTATTTGACCTTCATGGCATGCGAGTGTCTCCATAAGGTCCACTTTCAGGTCCAGTTCTGGAACCCAACGAGTACATGCCTTTGAGTATGTACTAGGAAAATGTCCGGTAGAGTCGCTGGGTGGGATTTGTGGTTAACTCAGGCCTTTTGGTTGTATTGCAGTTGGCAGACATCACCAAACAACCGGCATTTGTAAATCTAAAGGAGTTGCTGGTTAAGCAAATAGGAAGGAAATGATAATTAACATAGTTGATGCTGTTTTAATATTGGCATTGCTAAACTTCCAATGCCAAAAATGCAGTGAAATTTCTCCCACAACATCATAATTTACACAGCTTTGTGGTCTACAGAGCACCCTGAAAATTGGCTCTTTTTCTGGTCATTTACGTCACAGATGCCCTCCCCGTCCCCTGAAAGGCATAAAATACAGTTTACTTTGACAGAATAAAACATCTTTATTGTTATTAATGAATGGCTCTGGGCCCCTTTGGCGCTCAGTGACATTACCTACTGCTGAAACAGTTGCAATATGTTTACGTCCTAGCAAATTCCTTTAAGGGCCAGTGTGATATACAGACGCAATGTCTGAGAGGATCGAGTCGACATATTTTTCCTGTGTCCTTCCCCTCTCCCAGAAAATTCCCAGAATTCTAATAGTGGAAAAGCAGCTTATGTTGATTTGGAAGTTTTTAGCTCGTGTTCCAGAGTAGACTTTTTTTAAGCTTAATTACATTTCTTGCAATGATACGGGGTTGTGATTGATCCATACAAAACTGTGTATCGATTGGTCAAACTAATTGAATGCTCCTTCAGCACCTGCATCATTAAACTGCTTTCACACCACTAAAGCATCTACCTGATTGTCTCTATTGTCTGCTATGTTTGCAACTCAGCGTAGACTGATGTCAACAGAGTTTTAGCTCCTTCTTGTTTGTGGCACCCACTTCTTACTTTTAAAATATAACAAAGAGTTATGGCTTGAACACAACTTGTGGAACAGAGACAATGTCAAATAAGTCGTTGTCTTCCATAGCAGTGAAAGAGTTCAAGACAAAAAAAAAAAACTATAAAAGGAAGTTATTGTTTCAGGAAGCCAAAGTTGGATTCCTTCTCTATCTGGTAGAGATTTAACCTCAGAGGAGTTAAACATTCGTCAGATGGCTGCATCTGACAAGAGTGTCCCCTCTGAGGACATTTATCCAGTGGCACATGGCAAATGACAGTTTGAGCGGCATTAGTCCTCTAAATCCTCAGAAATGGAAGCAACCTTTGCCCCACGTCATGCTGAGTGTTTGACAGACAGCTTTAGTTTTTGGTTTCTGTATGCAGAGCTCTTTAGCAGTTTGTCCTCAGCAGATCATTGTTTCGACTTTCACTTCTTGTCCAAATATACTTTGGTTCCTAAGAACTCTTGTGGGACTGTGTGGTGCTGGTCCAGGAATGGACGTGACCAAAGCGTAGCTTTAAAGAAACAAATGACTAACATTGTTCAGCCTTCTCAACAGGCAAGCAGATGTAGACCTTCCAACTGACCTATTTGATCTTTTAAAACCAATGTGCAGCACACACACACACACACACCACATTTGATCAGCTCTGAATCGCCCGAGCAGGTGCTCTGAAAAGGAGACAAGTCCCAGCTCATAAGACTATCACACAGTCAGCGCCTAATGTTACATGCCTCGGCCCGGGGTGTCAAGCAAACCACTGTGTTCTGTGTGACGAGCCTCCAGCTTTCAGCACAAGGAGCCCATAACTGGACCTGGGCCGTTGCCTTATTTGACACCAAGTTCAGAAAATGGAGCCTCACACAGAGCGAGTTGGTGATAAGAAAACTGCTTAGTTGTTTTGATTCCAGCTGGGTCTGTCTGGTGCCCACAGCAGTAAGTCACTTTTAAATCTCCATCAGGAGCTTTTCCAATCCGAACTGTTTCTACCTCTTTTTTTTTCCTCATCTCTGTCTTTGCCAGCAAAGCTGCTGATGCATGGTGATGGGCTTTGGACAAACGGCCACTTCAGCAGTTCTTCTGTGCTCTGTGGCCGAGTTAAGCCCACTTTGTGTCATTTCCGTATCAGCCTGAGGATGAAAACACTGTGAAGCTGTCCGTTTAAAAAATATTGTAGTAACTGACTCGGAGGTTGATCAGACACAAGTCATTCTGTATCTTTCCGCTAAGGATGGGTCACTGGTGGAGTTCCTTTAACAGACTATGGGATCTTGTTTAAAGGTGTGGGACACAGAAATTTTTCTAAAATCTTATTTGTGATTAAAAGTGGTAAATGGCCTGTGTGTGTGTGTGTGTGTGTGTGTGTGTGTGTGTGTGTGTGTGTGTGTGTGTGTGTGTGTGTGTGTGTGTGTGTGTGTGTGTGTGTGTGTGTGCGCGCGTGTGCGTGCGTGCGAGTGTGTGAGTAGTGAGTGAGTAGTGAGTGAGTGAGTGAGTGAGTGAGTGATCTGTCAGGAAGAAACATGAAGAGACATTAATGGATAGGCATGGGCCTCACTTTAGATCCTCAGTAGACACCACAGACAGCAGAAATAACGTGTTTGGGACTCAAAATTCATGTTGTTGACCGAGGTGGGAAAAAAAAGTCTTGGAGGCTACATCACTTCCAGGTCACTGAACTGTCACTCAAGAGAAACCACTGTCCTATGGGAGAGGACTTCTCAGAAGTCCCGCCCACCCGAAAGGGTTGTGTCAGAATTGCAACCAAAAACTCAGGGATTGCAAAGGAGAAAGCCAGACAGTGTAAGTGCAACTCTGGTAGTGAGAGCAAAGCTCTGAGCAGCGAGAACAAAACTAAGGAAACTAATAACAAAAACACATAGAGGCAAACAGAAAAAGGAAACATACTTTGTTACTCATTTTAAGAAGCTGATTCAGATCGTTTTTGTTTTGAAACAAATTTTTCTCTCTCAATGTCTTAATATTTGTTTGATCTTCAAAGTGTTTTTCTTGATCCTGTTGGCACAAATCTAATCCGATATGTTTGACTCTTATCTAATACTGAATTAATTTACTTGATGCCTTCTCTGCTTCTCTCTCTCTCTCTCTAAAGCTGCTATGTTAAGTATTTTATAAAACATTTGCTGTCCTGAATGTTTCTGATTGAACATGACCGCTGTCTATTGTAGCCACCAGCCAAGGCCATTTGCTTTTATTTTTTATTTCCTCCTGCTGCTTGAATTGGTGACATACTGTCTCCATCCTGTTCTATAAACCAGAGTCCACATACTCTCAGTTGTTTCCTGCAGGCTCATGGATGTGTACTGCATTAGGCAGATGTAGAGATGAGGGAGCCCCTCCCCCTTTTCATGGAAAACCACGGGACATATGCTGTGTGTTAAACTCACTTTTTATTCTAACTACATGTTGATTCAAGTAAAAAAAGGGTTTTCAATCAATCCTCCTTGCACACCCAGTCACAAAAACAAGCACTCTTCCCTCTGCCTTGTCCCCTGATAGTTGGGAGCCCTGTAGCACCCCCCCCCCCTCCCCCCCAACCCCCCACGCCGGGCCTCTTTAATGAGGATTGGCCCCGGTGTGTTTGATCCTGCTTCCAGCTCACAGCCCTGCGGCCCCTCAGCCTCATGCCTATTCAACAGTCCCCACAGCCTCTACAGTAACTCCCCCAACGCCTTGGGTACAATATGGATCTAAAGCAAAAACACTCCTGGGTGGCTGCTTGATATCAAAGCTAAAAGAAGTGGGGGAAATCACAACAACTTTAACCCTTTGTTTACTTGCAAGTGAGTCTTCAACTGTAAATGTATTTATTCATATTTGTTTTAGACTTTCTCAGACTATCAACATCCTTGAAATGTCTTCACATCCCAGTCTTCCCAGTTAATTTAGTTTACAGCCGGTGATTTAGGTGTAAAAGGCCTTTCACTACTCAACACCACTGTTCTTCTGTTTTGTCTGTAGGATGGAGGCCTGCTGATCAACAACCCAACAGCACTTGCCATTCACGAGTGTAAGTGTTTGTGGCCCAACACGCCCCTGGAGTGTGTGGTCTCGCTCGGAACTGGTCGCTTCGAAACCACTGGCAAGAACAGCGCCACGTATACAAGCCTCAGAACCAAGCTCACCAACGTCATCAGCAGCGCCACAGACACTGAAGGTAGGGGCTCTGCAAAAGCTCAAGGCGTTTCATGTTTTGTAAAAATCTGCGTTTTGAGCTGAAGATGTAAGCTTGAGTTTAAGCAAATGTCTGATCTATGGTTACGCGTTCCACAGCTTGAGAAGATGGAGAGAAAACGTTTGTCAGACAGCTAATGTTTTGGTGATAAAGTTAGCCTCCCAGATCCAGCAGGTGATTGGGGTCACTTGACATTTTGTGAATTGATAAAAATAAACAGTAATTATTTAAAAGTCTGGAAGTATTCTTTGTTTACAACATTGTTTCCACACCTGCCTAAAACATTAGCAAGGTACTACTGTATATATTCTTTATGTGTGTTTTGTAGAATATAAAGACATCACAGATTTGTTAGATTATAGCCAGGTTTGATTAAAGTGTTGGACTTGATGCATTCTGCAGTAAATTCCATTTTTTCATGTCCAAACCCATGATTCTTTCTGCATTTCATGTTTCCCAATGTTCCCAAATCATAGGTGGAAAACATTTTACTCATTGGCATTTTGTGTACAGTGATAGGATCATAAATGAACCTGTTTTCATTTGATCTTGATGTTTTATAGTTTTTGTTGAACATAAAACATTGAGATTTGAATCCGATTCAGATATATTAAAGGCCTTTAAACACATTTATGAAACATTAAGTGGGATATGTGAGATGAGCTTTCTGGGAACTTGAAGCCCAATTTTTGTCTGTCAGCCCTTAAAACACCGTTTTTTGTATTTTCAAAAGAAAAAAAGTAATTTATGAAAAACTACAGTACTGAAAGACAAATCTATATATTGTTGACTAGATCTAGTTAGTCTAGTTTTGATAATGATTCAGTAGGAAATTTAGATTTATTTAGTTTCAGTGCAGAAAATCTCCCTCCTGAAGTTGACGTTGTCCACGATTCATCCTGCTGTGGCCTTGAGCTGCAGCAAACTCTCCATGTCCTTATCACCTCTCGACATGGGCACTTCTGCTGTGCCTAAATTTGGCTCGGCCTCCTCCCTGTTGATGCTTCGGTGCAGTGTGTGTGTGTGTGTGTGTGTAGCCTAGTTGCTTCTTTGCATTTTCCCCTCCTGTGTCTTGGATTAAGACCTCCCCAGCGTTCTCATGGACTTTTGTGTTTAGAGACAGTAGATACGTTTGAACGTTTATCTGAAATTTCCCTCCGAGTTCAGAAGCCTCCTGCTTTGTCTCCAGAGGATCGGCGGAGCTTGCTTTCTTGTTTTGGACAGATAAGACCAAGACTCTTTTGATGCAATCATAGCTATTCGGTTCACCTGAACAGACAGTGAAACCGTATTTGTGTCTGGTGTAACACGACTCTGAATGTTAAAAATGTCTCCTGTAAAAAGTGACCTTGGGTCAGCTCTCTCCTGAGACAGCTGAATGCTCCCCACCTTTTACAGATTCTTTGTGACAGCACTGAAATGCTGTGAAGGTAATCTGTTTGTTTACACATTAGGATGCTGAGAGTGTCCCGAGGCCTGAAGCAGAAATTTAATCCGTTTGGATAAACAGTCTGTGTTTTTGTGGACAAAGAGCTCTCCTTGTCTGGCCACGGATGCACTTGTGACTCTTTTTGTGTATTTTTACCGATAAAAATGCATATTTGATTAGGTATTACATAGATTAGGTATTTCATAGATTACTATGAGTTACTTTGTATTTTTCTTCTACAAAAAATGGATAATTGTTGGATCTCAATTAAATTTTTTTAAAACAAAATTTTGTATCTTTGCTTAACAAGGAAGCTCTTATTGAGATGAACTCGCTCTTATAATTGACTCCCGAGGGAACACGTGGCGGGGGAAGCGGGGGATTGAACCAGCAGCCTTGGAACCTTGTAACAAATATCAGGTTAACCTGTAATCTGATACGCCACATGGTTGCTTACACAAAGCTGTTTGGTACATTTTCCATTTTAATAGGAAGTGAGAAGGAATTTTTGGAAATTTCTCTAAAATACAACAAATATTAAATATTTTTTTCTATTTATTGTTTAAGCATGAGGAGGTGGGAACTATAGCGACATATTTTTGTCTCTGGTTACTGATCCAAGTCATTGAAGATTACATGTTTGCATAAAACGATTGACGACTATCAAGGGAAGGGACCGCCTGGTAGGTTTCAACTACAGTGCGGATCGACCTCCTGAGCCTCCATGGTAAGGTTTTTCCAGGGGTTCTGGAGAGGAATGTCCACCGAATAGTCGAACCTCAGATTCAGAGGAACATTGTGGTTTTCGTCCTGGCCGTGGATCACTGGACCAGCTCCAAACCCTTAGCAGGGTCGTGGAGGGTGCGTGGGAGTTCGCCCAACCATTCTACTTGTGTTTTCTGGATTTGGAGAAGATGTTCAACCGTGTGTCCCTTGGGAACTACCTTGGCAGTATGGGGTACCAGGCCCTCTGATACGGGCTGTTAGGTCCCTGTATGACCGGTGTCAGAGCTTGGTCCACATTCCCGGCAGTAAGTCGGGCTCGTTTCCTGTGAGAGTTGGACTCTGCCAAGGCTGCCCTTTGTCACAGATTCTGTTCATAACATTTATCTGTTTTGGTGGCCTAAGGATTGAGTCTCTGCTTTTTGAAGATGATGTGGTCCTGTTGACTTCATCACAACCTGACCTCCAACTTTCACCATGGTCCTGAGTCGGAAAAGTGTAGAACACCGTCTCTGGGTCAGGGATGAGGTCTTGTCACAAATGGAGGAGTTTAAGTATCTTGGGGTCTTGAATGAGGGAAAGATGAAGCAGAAGATCGACAAGCAATGCAGGCGGGAGGGGTTTGGAGTAGATCTGCTGTTCCTACACATCGAGGAGGTTTTCCACTTGGACTTGGGACACGAAGGAGGGGCTATGTTTCTTGTCTGGCCATGGAACACCTTAGGATCCGTCTTAGAGGAGCTGACCCCAGTGGTGGGGGAGAGGGAAGTCTGGGCCTCTGCTTAGGCTGCTGCCCCCGTGACCCGACTCCTGATTAGCGGTTGAAAATAGATAGATGGACAGTAAATGACTGAGTGAAACAATTTTCCTTCTTGTTTTTTTAAAGAACAGACATGCAAAGTTTCTACCATAAATGCATTAAATATAATAAAGTCAGTACATGTTTAGTCTTCCATAGGATTGGACGTCCTGTGGCTTGCACATGTTGGTTGTAGAACAAGCTTACAATAAAGTGTCACGACCAAGAGATGTAAGGCTGAAATCCTGCTAAATATTACAGAGTAGAAGGCTTTTCTGTCTCTGAAACGAACCGTCGTTATAAATTGATCTTTTCTCTGGGAGCTTTAATCTGTTTAGGGTCCAACTTTCAAGTCACATAGATTGGCTTTGACACCTTAGAGAAGCACATACAACTGTAATTGTTCCTCAAATGAACCACTAGAGTCCTGCGAGGCATTCAGAGGCTCAGTGTTGATAATATCTGTTTGACCGCCTGACCTGGTGTGAGAACACTGGAAATATGTCAACTTTCTGGATCCACAAAGAACATTCCCACAGTTCTTTTACACGTGCCTGCTTATGTCTGTTGATTTTAAAACCATCCATGCGAGGCAGACGAAAACAGAGATGACAGACTCCTGAAACTTCCTCAGACTTTCAGCCCTGAGCGATCAGCCAGTGACGGCTGACAAACAGGATGTGACTTCACGTGCCCTTTTCACTCTCAGCACAATGGTTGAATGTTTGAACAAATTGGAACATTTATAGAGTTAATAGCATGTTAATAAATATCCTGCATGTGTGACCTCACTCTCGCCTTCCTTCTGCTCTTCAGAGGTTCACGCCATGCTCGACGCCTTCCTGCCTCGGGACACTTACTTCCGCTTCAACCCGTTTGTGAACGAAGACGTCTCCCTGGATGAGAGCCGGCACGAAAAGCTCAACCTGCTGCAGGCCGAGGGCGTCCGCTACCTGGAGAGGAACGAGGAAAAACTAAACAAGGTTGCTCGCATCCTCACTCAAGAGAAAAGCTCCGTCCAGAAGATGTCTGATTGGGCCAAGCTAAAGGCAGATATGTACAACGGTCTGTCCTCCAAGCTTTAGATCCAGGAGGAGTCACATCTCTTGCATTCTTCTGTAGTTCTAAATAATTCATGTTGCCACTAGTATTGTGTCAAAGGTAATGGTGGTTTTAGAACACTCTAACAAACGCTTGTTTTCCCTCACAAACACTCGGATAACTTTAGTGTTGGCGTGCCAAAGCTTTGGCCCTTCCCAACTTTGGCAAGGAAGTGTATCTGGTAACTATTAGTGTGTATGGGTGATTCTAGCAAAGATAACATTTTAAATGGCTTTTCAATTGGAAAATCTAAAGATGAGGGCAAATGATCATGTTGGCACAGGCATCAATAGGAATTGTTCACATTTTAGAGCATTTTTCCCTCCTTCTTCCTTGCTGACATGAGTAGAGTTGTACCAAGGGTCTAAAGTCTGTTTCAGCAGGATTTGAGAATAAAGATTAATACTGATCTTTAATAATATTTTTTTTACACGATACACTGTTAAATCACTGAACTCAACGTAACAAACAGCGTTTTTGTTAAATGTGTTCATCTTTAGGTACGTACCTTTGACGTGGTAAAAATCTGCATTTTTGTCTAATCCAGGTGAAACTGAGGGGATGTTGCTCAGTTGATCTTGTTAAAATTTGCACATGAAAAAAGCAGCTACAGGTAAATTGTACATTTCTAATGAATAAAATAACTAGATGAAGACCCACTTCAGGGTTTGCAGTATTAGATGTGTAATTTTATTATAATTTTAAAAGTAAAGTATGATATTTAAGAAGAATTCAGACAGAGTTGATCTGACATGTTGCTTCAGACTTGGATATTTTTAAGTTCTGTTCTTTTAAACCTTTTGTTATTTGGGTTTGCGGATTTCCCCGAGGCCGTTTTCTGCTCTGTCTTCAGCTTTCTTTTGTCTTTTCTTTGATGCCTTCACTCAGAAGCCTCCTTCACTTTTGCTGTTTCAGTTGTCACTCTCCTGCACTGTAATGTTTGTTGAAATGATGCAGGTGCATTGTTGAAGGATGGTTTTTTAAAACGGATTACCTTTCTTGTTGTCAACTTATAGAAACAGTCTATTTGCTGCTGAAAATAGCACTGCAGACGTCCATTTCCAGGCCTAACCGGGTTGAGTACTGTATCCCCGACACAACGATGTGCGAGTCTGTCCCAGAGGACTTGAAGTAAAATGGTTACAGACCCAGATTAATGTAATTCCACTGTTCTTCTGTTGGTCCTGTGTGAAGCCTGTTTGAGAATGTCATTAAAACGTTTCCTGAACCATAATGCATCTCATCTTTTTATTTTGATTTTGATTTTTTCACTATTTGTAGCACTTAATCATACAATGCATGCATGCAACTCAAAGTGCTTAACAAATTAAAAAGGCCCTGCATACCCACATTCCCTCCCATCCCCAGAATTTTAAAAACAGTCTGACAAAAACCTTCACAACACTCATCCTCCGGCACACACACACACACCCACACACACACACCCAGGGAAAAAACACGAAGGACTAAGATCAGATGAGCCAGACCAGATAAGGATAAGGAAACACCATCAGGGGAGCCATCCGCCCCGACAGCAGCAGATCCACAGCAGCAGCCGAGGCACTGACAGGGCGCCCAGGGCAGGGAGGGCGGAGGCCCCCAGGCACACCTGGAAAGCACCCAGGTGCCGACCACCGCCCCCGGGCAGAGGGCACCCACAGAGGAAACACTGGAAAAAGATTAAATTAAGGTTAAAATATAAAATCATAGGAGCTAAACTGAGAACTGTAATATAAAAAGTTACATAGTTATTAAAATAATGTTGATCACAAATCTATGGTAAAAAACTGTTTAAAAATAGCACATATAAAGAAAGAGTACATAAAATAAATTAATAGATAAATAAATAACCTAATTATTTAAAAAGTGATTTAAAGCTAAAATGATTAAAATCCTGGTTAAGCTGCACTTTCTCACAAAGCCTGTGCATCATTTTTAAAAACATTAAGCTATAAATATCCCAACAAAGATGCTAATCAAATAATCAGATGTACAACTGCAGGCACATTCAGAACAAGTGTGTTTTTGCCTTAAATATATGTTACAAAAGCAGGGGCGTGTGTGTCGGGAGAATATAGTTTCACTGCTCATCCCTGAGCTACCTGTCACAGAATCGAGAAAGGTGGGGCGAGCTGACGGCGAGGCTGTGCTCGGGCAGCTGGATAACAGCTCTGGCTAGTGATGGATGGTATTTCCCTCTAGCAGAAACTCGTGTGTGCACCTACACAGCTCCCCACCAAGGGCGTACACACATGAAAACACAGCAATGGCTTAAAGAAAGCAGAGAGAGCAAGAAAACAGCAGTGCCTGAGGAAGAACCGCCATAGCAGGGACATATATAAACATCATTTTATCTGGAATTTAACAGCAGGATGGAGTAAAAGAACCTGGCGGTGAATGAAAACAATGTTTTTAAATCTCTGAAATTGTTTTTAGTTAATAAAGTTGGTCTAGTTGTTTAAGAGGTGATGGTGATGAAGAATCACTATAACAAAATGGTTTTGGGATGGACAATATATCGGCATCAGTATCAGCCGATGTTAGTCATTTTTTAACAAATCAGTATCGGTTCGATACATGAAACTGAGCCGATGTTTTTTCCATCTTGTCTCCATTTGTTTGCCTGTTTCAGAGGGTGAAGGGGTGATGTGTATTTGTTTAGTCATGTGACAGTGATTGTAATCATCTCAGAAGCGTAAATGTGTGTGGTGTGTGTACATAATGCGATAAATTCAGTTTTAATGATTTTCATTCTATACAAAATCTGCTGATATCAATATCTGTAAATATCGGTTATCGGGTATAACAGTGATCTTAATATCGGTATCGGCCCAAAAATTCTAATCTGTGCATCACTAATATATATCTCTAATATCGGTATCGGCCCAAAAATTCTAATCGGTGCATCACTAATATATATCTCTATCTATCTATCTATCTATCTATCTATCTATCTATCTATCTATCTATCTATCTATCTATCTATCTATCTATCTATCTATCTATCTATCTATCTATCTATCTATTTATCTATCTATCTATCTATCTAGATATATATATATATATATATATATATATATATATATATATATATATATATATATATATATATATATATATATATATATATATAATGTGAACTTTTGTCTGGATTGTGTTTATATTGTTCTCAAAAATAAAGCCTGTAAGTCTCTACAAGTAAAATGTATGTACATCTCGACTTTCCTCAATAGGCTGAAACCCAACACATGCATCAGATCATGATGCATTAATATTCTGCTGTTGCAGGCTGTAAAACAACAACACAACACTCATGCACTCGTTCATGATTAAATGAAAACAAAAAACTAAAGATTTCCTCTGCAGAGAAATTGGGAGCTTTTGGTTGAAGTATTGGAACATTTGCCCTCACAGACGACTGTCATCATGTTTTATTAATTGTTCTGGTTATGCCCCCTGTAGTTAAACCCAGTTATGCAGACGGTAACGTCTGCACCCTTCTCAAAATAAAGAACTCATGATGTAATTACACACAACACTGAGGGAGGAAATCCATATCTGATGAAAGCAGATCTGACTGGTATGGGTCTCTCAGCACTAATCGCATCAATGATTTCATTTCCCACCTTTGGCAAACCCCCTAGATTTCAAACAGAAAATACATTTTACAGTCCATCTCAGACGTGTGTGTTGAGGATGTTACGCTGCATTTTTGCACCTTTTTATTAATATTTTTGCAACAGCTGTTTATCTTCAGGCTGGTTGGTCGTCAGTCACAGCACACGTTAAGCTGCAGGAAATAAACCAGGCTCATTAGTGGTTACCTTGTTTAGTGGAGCATGATTCATAACGGGGTAATAAAGAGTGTAATTAAGAAAACAAATGCATAAGTAATAGAACAACCTTATTTCTGCTGTTCACTCCTCGGTCCTGACCTTTGCCAAAAAAAACAACAAAAGAAAAAAAACAAACATCAAAATAAATTAACAAAACTTTGGATTGTACATGGAATGGTGCGTCTATGAATTTTTGGTTCATGTATACATTTTCTATGAAAACGTTTACCGGTAGTCTTTTTTTTTTTTTTTTGCTACGGGACTGATGATTTTCTTTCAAACTACACCAGAATCCAGAAAATGTCCCTAAACTAGATCTAATTGGAGCTAATTGAATGGAGTATAAAATGTGGGCATATGACACATTTTATTTGCTAATTTATGCGTTGCTTTGGGAGGTTTATCATCACTTCAGATGGAGGCAAAGTCATTTCATGGCTAGCTTGTTGGTGCTGTTGATGCGCTTTTACAAAACTATCAGCAATAATACCGACTCTGTTCTGCACAGTAGATGCCACACATAGAACTTTCTATCTCCATGAGATGATGATTTCAAGGATCCACTACAATAATAGCTGAGAACCGCTGAGACAATGTTTTTGTCTGATGGCTTTTCGTATTTAGTGAATGTCTGATGGCTTTCACAGTGAAATTTGCAAAGTGCCATACTTCGTCTCCATGGTGTAATATCCTTGAACTTAAGAAAATCCCTCGGAGTATTTTACAGATAATATGCATGGGAACAGTCATAATGAGATTCAAGGCTTAGGCAGATATATCTGGAGGCAATCTAAAATGAGAGGCAAGGACAATTACCATATTTCTCTGTTAGGAAGAGTGTGTGGGTGAGAATCCCCTCATCACCTCTAGATGTTGGTCGAATGGCTTAATGTGACTTCCTCCCTTTATTTTTTATCATTTTCAATAAAAATGTAATGGTTGTAAAAGATGTAGAAAAGAAATTTGACATGTTTAAATGTAATTTAGTTGTCTTATATTACAACTTAAACACGCTCCTTTCTCCTTTAATACTTTTTCTACAGTTTTGAGTTTAATCTCAAACCACAAAACCAGTTTCTTCTAAAAACTGACTCATCTTTATGGGAATGAAAGCATCTCCTGCTGTGTGTTTCCATCTGATAGTGTTGGTCACAAACAAATAGAAATACCAAGAGTTCTGTTAGAGTTTAACACAGCAGAATCCTTGTGTGTGTGTGTGTGTGTGTGTGTGTGTGTGTGTGTGTGTGTGTCAAAAAGCAGAGAAGAGAGGAAGTAAATGGATTTTAAACAACTGGACAGAAATATGGAGTCGATTTTTATTCGATTTTTTAATCTTCAGTCTGCAGCAGGTTTCATTTGAAATGTTGAGGATTAAACATCCTAGGCTCATAGTATTAATTTTTAATGTTTCTACATGTTTAATTTTCATCTGCCTGAACAAAACAAGAGCAGCGAAGATTAAAAGCTGCTTCCTGCTGTTAAAACTGACATGGTCCAGCTATGACAGAGCAACTTTTGATTTGTTTCATCCAAAAAGTGTCCAGCTGTTGTGATTTCAGGCCTGCAGCAGTTCTACAGTGGTGTAATAAAGTATTTGTCCATTTACAGATTCCTTCGCTTCCTGATTTTTTCCCCTCTCATTGAAATATTTTAACAGTATCATTTTGATGTCAGAAAAAAGTAAACAGATTAAATACGAAATGCTGTTTTGACATATTGATTTCTTTTTTAAGGGGCGAGGGGCTGTGCAGACCAACCTGACCCTGTGTGGGAAAAAGTAACTGGCTTTAACTGATGAATAAATTCTAATTAACTTTATTTGTAAAGCTGAGTTCAATTTACAGCCTTCAGCAGGCTGGATTCCTGTCAGACACACATGAATAAAAGATCTCGAAAAAAGCAACACACCCAACAGCACCAAGAGTCTCCTCATGGGTCTCGAGGACAAAGGAAACAATGTTCAAGTTTCATTAAAGGGAAATTCCACCTGAAATTAAAATTTTGTCTATTGACATATTTGTCAGAGTTAGATAAGTGGGAAAAAAAGAACTAATATATTAACCAGCTCAGTCATTCTCCTAACTCGGCTGTACTCGTTTTGGTTTAGCTTAGCATAAAACACTGTAAGTGAATGGACCCATTCTGTGAATAAAAATGTCTTTTTCATGAAGAAGTTCCAAGACCAAAACATTTGCTGACAAAAAGAACATAGAGGCCAATCTTATTTTTGCAAAAACAACAAACTAACTGTTGTATGGAGTATAATCAGACTTGTTAATGTATGGAATTAAGTCTGAATTATGTCTCTCATTATGTGAAATCAATTCTAGGCTCTACAAGGTGTATCCGTGTGTGTGTGAAACCAAGCTAAAGGCCTGTTACCTTCTCTTATCATGTTTGTGTGTGTGTGTGTGTGTGTGTGTGTGTGTCCAGGCAGCCGTCTAGCCCCCTGAACTGTGATGTCGTAAATTAGTGATGTGCCTTCACTCTGCTTATATGGTCAAACCATTCATGTTGTGGATATAACCTGTTTTGACCTGAACAGATGTTGGGAGTAAGCATGTTTGTTATCTTTTATCCTCTGTGGAGTTGGTCAAGATGCTGTAAACATATAAATAAGACATCTTGTCCAACTAATGCTGCAGATGACCATTTGATCCTGGGCAGAAGATAAGGGAGGGGTAACCGCACGTCTCCCTCTGCTGACCAATGGCTAAGAAGAAACAAGTGAACGGATGAAGACTGGGAAAAAGAGGAGTTTGAAAAGGCTGGGAGAAGAAGGTTGGAGAGCGTGTGGCTGGACACTTGTTAAGTTTTTGATCGTGTGTGCCCCGCTGCGCCGGGATCTCTATTTTTTCACCTGTATTTGGAATAAAATTTGTTTCTCGACTGCGAGAAACGCAAAAGAGTTTTTCATCTCTATGGCCTCCTTTTCGGCTGGCGGTTCACCTAACAGGTGAGGTGCTGGTTAATCTTATCCCATCCTCAGATGCTACATACCATCCTTTGCTACGGTTAAGTTAGCTGTTCCTTCAGCATAAAGGGAACAGTTTGTTATGGTGTGTGACAGACGGCATGCTATGAGCCGGAAAGGGAGGGGGTCAGAAGTCTTCCTCTTTGTCTGCTTGAACTAATTTTGGTCAGAATTAGAAGCTTTGGGTTTGTGGTGATTTCAGATCAACTCTAGTAAGAGTGTTTGTTGGCAGCTGGCATTGGCACGCTCACTACATCGATTACAAGTCAAACCCTGAGATATTAGTAACATCTAGCAGAGTGGAGCTAGCCAGGTAAATTGGCTTGTGACACTAACTAACTAACTAACTAACTAACTAACTAACTAACTAACTAACTAACTAACTAACTAACTAACTAACACTCTCTCTAACTAACTAACTAACTAACTAACTAACTAACTAACTAACTAACTAACTAACTAAATGGCATCTCAATTATGTTTGATGATGAAGGCTTTTGGTAAATATTCTGGACTCGAGACAAAAATATAAATTGTTGAACTGTGCATGTGTCCTGTTACATCTTGTGTAAAAGAAAAAAAACACCCTTTACTTCAGAACAAGTTCATTCCAACAGTGAAGCAAGGTGGTGGTAGTGTGGTGGTTTGGGGCTGATTTGCTGCTTCGGGGACTTCAGAAATCTCAAGTAAAGGAGAAGCTAAATCGTGTAACAAAGAAATCTGTATAAGGGGACAAATACTCTGTAGTACTATCTAGGTATATTAGTGAGTGTGTTTGTGTAACACCGCTGGAATGGCTGTTTCAGTGCCTCAAGGCCACCGTTCATCAGTAGCGGCTCTGCAGTGCCTGCTGCGGGTCTGCGTGCGCCTTGGCGAGCCCGCTGCTCGCCTCCGCCTGTGTGACAGCGCGTGCGCGCTTGTGTGTGTGTGTAAACTGGTGGGAGAGGAGAAGAGGACCAGTGAGGCGGAGAGAGAGAGAGAGAGAGAGAGGAGGCAAGTGCAGGAGGAGGCGGAAGCTCGGCGCTGAAACGGGTCTCCACGTCAATAAACAGCACGCAGCGGATCAGGACTGCTGTGGCGTTGCGGTGGAAACAGGTAAGGAGAGTTTAAATCTGGGTGATATTCAGTAAGGAGCACGTGCAGCTCACAGTTAGTAGAGGAGTTTGTGGAGGATGAAAGAGTCCGGACACGCTCAGCTGGATGATGCATGGCTGTCTTCGGGAATGTACCGGGTTCGTTTGAAACCGAATCTGTAGAAATTACGTGAGTCCTTTTTAGGGCTTCTGAGCTAAAACACGTGATGTTCATCAGGGTTTGACTGATTGTTCTTAGACGTGAGGACATGTAGGTTAACAGCAACTCTACTGTAGAAGACAGTTGTTTTCTCGTGTGTGGATGAAAACTGCTGTTAATACACACAAATCCCTCAGCTTCCTAAGCGGATTCCCACATGTTCACGTTCACATCACAACTCTATCTTGTTTGGACTGACCGCTCAGTTTGTGTCATTTCCCTTTATCACCCTCAAACTGGCCCTGATAGTCCTTCTGAGGTTTCACTAATTATATCATTTATTCCACCAGTCAAACAATACCCACACATTCTCACCCATCCCTCACTTCCCTCCCCTCCTCCTCCCCTTCAATCAAAGCCTTGGTCAAAAGGAGGGGATCTCACCCTCCCCTGCTCATCCCCCAGACACCCTAACTCATACACGCACCCAAACACACACACATGCCATGACTGAACACTTTCGCTCTTGGCCAAATTAATACAATGCTAATGACCTCCTCTTTATTGTCTGAAGCTCCACTGCTTCCTGAAAGGCCTGACACACTTTTTAGTCATGTTTATTCACTTCATCCAGACTACAATCTGTTTAAGAAGACAATCTCCAGCATGCTTTGCTTGTGTTTTTCTAGAAACTGGTGATAAAATGTGTGATCCTTCATCTATGTATGTGTTGGTGTGTTTTCTGCTGACCAGGAAGTAACTTACGTCTCAAAGAAACCTCACTGGAAAAATAACAACCGGAAATTTTGGGCTCATTTGACAAATGTGGCGAAATCGGGACGAGATAGTGACCTACATTGTGCCGCCATCTTTACTTTAACCACCGGCACACCAGGCTGGGAGATTTGCATAATTTAGGGATTATCATGACACATGTTGGCCGGAGTTATTGATAGAGCACCGGTCTCTGTGACTCTACTGACCTAAAACCAGCGACGGCGGTGGTGCAGCTCTGCTCTGGAGGCTGTGGGAAAAGCTTGGGTGTTGGAGGGAAAATGCCACCAATTTTGCCCTGTGGGCTGAAGAAACATGCAGCCTATTCTGTGAGAAATGATCAGCGCTGCTTCTCTGAGCAGCCGTCTGTGGCCTGGTGAATGCCACTGACTGCAGGATGGAACAAAGTGTCTCACAGACAGAAAGAGGTCTTCTGTGTGACTTTGTGGTGATAATGACATCATCTCTTTGAGGAAGTGGTCTGAAAACTGGGGGCTTTCTCACTTGGTGATCATCTCAACAAAAACTCATTTATGTGGCAGACATATCCACGTAATGACCTCACCATACCATGAAGTCAAAGTGGGAAACTTTTAATGTGAAAGGACGATTCTAAAGAGGAAGTGCTGATGGAACCAACATCTTAAAGCTAACTTCTGTTTAGTTTTGATGTCATCATTTCTAATTTGGGACACAACTGATCAGACTTGAGCTGAAGCTGTTTCATAAGCTAACAGTTACTCACTTATAGAAATGTAATTAGTAGGGATGTAAGAAAACATCAATGTAGCAATATATCACATCATTTTCCCCTGCAATATTATATCGATATTCATCTAGTTTTTGGATGAATTTACATGCCAACATTTGTGTATTTTCCTTTCTTTTGGTGCAATTCAAATGCCGACCGCTAGTTGGCAACAGTGTGCAATGGGTTTTGGTTCCACCACTGAAATGTAAATCCCTCTTTTGTGGTTCAGATACCTCATGTTAAACATGTTAAGTATCAGTTTGGACTGTTTGATTTTTCCTGCAACAATTCCAGTCTAAAAATAAATCACTAATATCTTCTGGCTGAACGTATCGCAATCTATCGTATTGTCTCCCCCGTATCGTGGTACCTATCGTATTGCCAGAATTTCACCAAATCACATCCCCAGTATTAGTTATTTTAATATCAGAGTAGATTTTATGCATGATTACCAATTACTCTCTTGATTTAACATTTCAACGTTGGCAATCATGAATGAAATGACCAAATATTCACAGTTAAGTTAAAAAAAATATACAGTTTCAACTTTGTGATGATAACTAACTAATGGGGAGATTAGAAAGATACTTTTTGGACAAATAGTTTATTAATGATTGAATATATACTTAAGAAAATAAACCAATATCATTTATGTTTTAATAGAAGGAAAGGCATCTTTATTTATAAAGCACATTTCATTCACAGAGGTAATTGAATTTGCTTTTCGGGTGCAAGAAAAAGTGTGAAAACATAAAACAGCACATTTTAAAACCAACAAAATAGTCATCTTTAAAATAATATTTAAATTATATTAAAAAAAGATTACTATTACCATTTTCTGTCAAATTTCACCCAAAATGTTGCTTAAAACCAATGTACATGCGTGAGAACATCAGCGTTTTGCTAATTACATCATCCGTGTTATTATAGGCCAAGTTTGGGAGTCCAAGACTGCAACATTTGTGTCCACACTGGAAGAAAAAAGCAGGAACATTAGTATAAATTGCCAAAAGCCAAAATTTTTTGAATGATCAGTTCAGTCTTAAGTAAAAAAAAAAAAACTGCATTAAAAGATCCAATG